AAATACTTATTACAGGTATGTATATGCTTTATGCTTTTTCGGATGACGTTATGCAATGGTAGATTTCTGACCATATACAAATCTTTCTTAGCATTGACTACATTTGGTGAATCTATTGACCGCTGAGTTCTCGATACAGGAGATAAGTTAGTTGCTGAATGAAATTGGCTACATTATTCATGTCTAATTATTGATATATTGTAATGACTGGGACACGTGTTACGTATACCCAACCACCGACTGCCTCGATGTGCGATGTTTTGTTGTACAGGAGTAGATTGGAAGAAAGCTAGGGGCGATCAGACTAAAACATGGCACAAGTCCATGAAGTCACTGACAAGTGAACTGAGACATGTTGGTAGGTGTAGACTACCTGGTTGGGGACCGCGTGATGATAGCAACCGATTGTTAGAGACCCTGAATGACATGGCTCAAAATCTTTCGCGATGGCGCAGGTGCATTCACTCTTCGTGTTCTCCCAAATCTTAATCTTCTGAATTCTTCATGTCCCTTTTTCCTCTTTCCAAATTTATTTCACTGGATTATACTCCTTGAATAACATGTTCAAACCCTAATCTTTCCGATTGCTGCTTATATTCTTACCACCTCTACCACTACGGGATTTGAATCGACAACTACATCTCTGTGCTAATGTGGTGTGGCCACTCGAACTGATGTACGTACGTACGAAGTTCTACGTTGTTACTGACTGAATGGTTAATAGTAAATAATTCCATATGTGGCCAGGTGTAAACAAGTCACTGAGAAATCTTCAACATGTCCAAAGTAGCAGTTTGTTGTTTTGCTGTTCTATTCGCTTAACTAGATCGTTTAATTACAGAGCACTCATTGTGTTTTTGGAGGACATCACCAGCAGATACTTCAGGTCAAAACATTGGTTTGAATTCGCTTTTATACACTGAATCATTTCAGCGTGTTTCATCAAAGATATGTTGACTTATTGCGAGAACGTTTCTTAGTGTATAAATGAAATCGTTAGCGTATTTTGATACGGAGGCTACCTCATCAACTAATGATCAACATGAGCGTGTTGGTCCACTCCGCACTCTTTTTTTCTATTTCCAGCCCTGAGTCCGGAAGCACATGTGGGTTTATGCATAAATATTCTAGACCGCACGCACTGCATCATAAAATAAATCATAGTTGTAGACAAACAGGCGAAAAGTTACTGGACCGGGTACTGTTAATAATTGATTAGCTATGCAGTAGGAATAATATGTACAGTAATTATTTGTGTCGGACAGAAGTTTGCAATGAACGGAATATAGAAACACAGTGTTCCAGTTATCTAGTAATTGCTCAGTAAGAGTATATGCAATAATAGTCCATAAAATGGTTTCGGTAGCTCTTCAATCGTCGTTCTGACACGTTCGCTATCTCCAAAACATTGCTGGCATTCTTTGAGAACACGTGATGTTACTTACGCTGAACTGAATGATTGCATTGCAAGGTTTTTAATGCCTTTTTAGATATCAGCATGTCAGAAATTAACACAATTTCAATGCATTTTTATCCAAATCAAGGAATAGGAATAATACAGTGGTCTTGAGTGCTGTTAGAGGTATGAGGGCGGTTATCACTTCCTGGTTGCCCACACCGTGGAAGGGTTCTTCTGGAGGTACCTGAAAAGGAAATTGGATTAGAGGTGGTCTTAGTGACCTGAAAGCGTAACCGCAGTGCCCAAGGGACAACTGCTTCAGGTCGGTCACACACGACCTTTTTATGGGTGATTTTCGTGCTAGCTCCGTACTTGTTGAGACCTTACCGCCGGAGACGGATATCCGTGGGATAAGGCGAGGTGTGCATTCTTAGGGTCGACCTTTTCTAACTCCACCCCTCCTTGTGAGAAGGCAGCATCGCTGTCATGCTGGTTGTCTGAAGGAAACACCTTACTGCTCTCACACCTCTGTACAGTCAGCAGTACGACTTCGCCTTCGGACCTTGGGTTTGTTGCTTTTAGTCTTACCGCTCTTCAACCGACCTGTCTGACATGGTAGGACCTTGAGGAACGGTTGTTCCTGCCAGTATAGCTCGGTTGCTTCATCACGATAGGCAAGCCCGACCACCACGTCAAGGTAGCAACAACGATCGGGAATCAAGGAATACAACCGAGAAGTAAAGAAAATAACAGCAAAATGTTAGGCTAGTCAAATGGGATACCGTGTCATCTATGTATACATTAATGAATGTTAGAATTTCAAAACTAGCTTTGAACTTAGCCATCTAGTTTACAACACAAGAACAAAATGAAGTTTTCCAATATGGTACAGTTTCAGATTTAATTATGTTACGTGATTTTAAGTCTTAATGATTTTTAAGTCAATATAGTCTATACATCTACGATAGCTTGTTTACTTATTTCGGATCGTACAACACCCAGTGCCAGAAATGTTGTCATGTAAATCCGAATTTTACAGATTATTTGAGCTACGCTCTCCTCCTCATGATAAGGTAAATCTACATATTTGATGTTTCATCATCCATAAGCTTGTTACTTGAAGATTTCGGCTAATGTCAAATGTTATATTCGTAGGTTACTAGTATTTGACCATGTGTTTGATGCATATTTTGGGATTATCAAGTGAACAATTTTGAGGTTGAACGTAGAGTCTTGGTGATGCATCGGTTTCGAATCTCCATAGATTTAGGCGGCCGGGATATATATTACGTATAATCAATCATCACTTACATCGATGAGTAATGTCTTTGGGTTGGGGTTGTAGGAATAATAGAAGTGGCTCGAACTGAAACGCAGTCTCACTCTTTGAGGCCACTGATAATTGTATTGAGAAATATTAGTAAATGCAGACTGATTAGTCGGTATCCGAGCAGTTGATGTGTTGTATCAGTTGCCGTACTTTCCAGTCTGCCACAGAACATGCTCGTACTCTGTAATTATTAAGTATTGTATGCTTGAATCGAAAGATTTATATATTCAAACATAAACATTGGTACAAGGGGGCACCAAACAGATATGCACCACAAATATTATTTGATTTTTGTGAGGGCTGGAATATTGCACAGGTGCCTAAACCGAAGCACGTGGTCTACTTAGGGGGCCACACCTAGAGCCTTTAACCTAAAGGTCTAATCCACAAGACAGTGGAGTATCGTAAGGAAATGCAGTCCCATGTTAGCCGTTGACCAATGATAGGTCCATACGCCATTTGTTTTCCTAGGATCCTGGAGTTCATGTACATCGTTAGTTCGGAATTCGAGTTTTCCAACTCCCTTAGATAGACCCTCTATATCCACTAATCCGGTTAAATCGCCGGACATTCGCTTTTCGTCCTCTCATTTTCGTAAACAACACTCGTAGTGCGTGGCCAATTGAGAGCACTCTCGTCTGGGTAAGTTTATAAAAACTGGTTGCAGATATTCGATGAGGTGATTCAGAACTGGTTTGGATAACATCAATGCATTCACTCTTTATCTTTCCTTACATTTTGAGTTTTAAAATTATCCTATATATATATATATATATACTCTCCAACGATATTGTCTATACCCAAGTTTTTATTACTAGCGCATATACTACTCATCTTGATATCGCTACGCTAATGTTATGGCATGACAATTTGATTCGATCGACTATTGTCTAGATGTATGTAGATTATAATTAATCCATATTACTGAAATGATTAAAAGCATACTTCAAAGCAATGTGTAAAATTAATTTATTCTACCATAATATTGTTTACATACATACATACATACATACGTACACACACACAAAGAGAGAGGCATACACATGATAAATTAATCCATTATCCATTAGTAACCAATACAAAAGTGAACCAAGTCCCTTAGAGATAAATTAAAAGAATAAAATAGAGAGAGAGAGGGGGGAGGACCAAAACGACATTATTATTAACCAATTAGAAAGAAAATAAATTAATGCGTAAAAACGTACAAAAAAAGAAAGAAAAGAAAAGAGAAAACATTTAAAGAGGGAAAAAAACAATCAATATCTGAAATTAAGATGAAAAAATATTATTATTATTATTATTATTATTCCATGATTAAATTATAAAACATACGTAAAATCATATCATTCTTCTCTCTTTATATATAGATATATAAATATCAAAAATGATTGTACATTAATCATGTACATCACCCATAACGATAAAGAACATGTATTGATCTGTTCAATTAGTTGCCATAATGAAGTAGTATAGTGATAGTGTTTTATTTTTGAGTGGGTGGGTGGGTGGTACAGGGAAGATATGAAAGCAAAGAGAAAGAGGTGTTGTAGAGGAATCAAAACTTACACAAAAACACACATCATAATTATTACCAGTTGAGGGTGGTAGCGGTGGTGGTGGTGGTGAGAGAAATAATAAAAATAAAATGAACAATAAAGCAAATATATTCCCATATATGCGCCCCAGGGTAACCCAAACCACAAAAAAAAAACAAATTGGAATAGGGAAGAGACAAACCAATAAAAAAAAGTGACAATAAGGCTTCTGTTCACATGATTGACCATTACTATTATGTTTACAGTTGTATGTGTGTGTGTGTATAGGGGTGTGGGGATATGAAACAGAAGACAAAAATAATAGATAATAACCTGTAAAATTATTCACAATTGAGCATAAAACACACATAATTAACTCCTGCCCCCTTCTCTCTCTCATACACACACACACACACACGGAGACAGATAAATCTAATCAAAATTGTGCAACATATTGAAATGATTTTTCTCTAAAAAAAGAAAATTATCACAGTTGTTGATAATATTGATAAAGAAGAAAATGAACCGAAATGATACTCACAATCAATCTTCATCATAGTTTATATGTTTGCCAAACCCCCCCACTCTCATTTCTTTTCTTTTTCTTCTTCCCCTTCTTCTTCTTCCTTTATTCATTTGTATAATTAAGAGATAATGTGAATCTTTTAGTCACTGGGATTAGAATCTTATTCTAGTTATAGAATTATGATGATAATGATAATGATAATGACGATTACTATTGGATACCATTTGTATAATATTGAAAACTATCATATAATTTTGTTGTAACTGAATTTAATGAATTATGAACCATTTGATCAACTAATTGTTTTAATTGTTCTTCTGTACGTGATAATTGAAATCGTTGACGTAAATCAGTAATTGTACGACAACCATTACCACGAGAAAAACATGGTAATTGTGGACATGTGGCATGAGCTATTTCAACCAGTACACAGATCTATATAGACCCCATTCCACCCAATCCCCAAAAAAAAGAAAACAAAAAGTAATTCAATGAATGAATATACTACTTATGAGATAAGTATTAATAATTTCTACTGATATGAATAACATGTATTCATTGAACAACAAATAGGATCAAATTCATGAAGTCATATGTAACTTAGTGAAAATTCCCATTTTCACATTTACTCGGTTACTTACTTATTGTCTGTTACTCCCGATGGAGCATAGGCCGCACACCAGCATTCTCCAACCAACCCACTCTGCCCTGCGCTTTCCTTTCAAGTTCTATCCGGTTTTTGTTCATTCTTCTCATGTCTATCTCCATTTCCCGGTGTAATGTGTTCTTTGGTCTTCCTCTCCTCCTCCGGCCTTGAGGATTCCACGTGAGGGCTTGTCTTGTGACGCGGTTAGGTGCTTTCCTCAATGTGTGTCCTATCCACTTCCAGCGCTTCTTCCTAATTTCTTCCTCTGCTGGGATCTGGTTTGTTCTATCCAAAATTAGGTTGTTACTGATAGTGTCTGGCCAACCGATCCGAAATATTTTACAGAGACAACTGTTAATAAACACTTGTATCCTCTGGATGACGGCTTTCGTATTTCTTCAAGTTTCCACCCCATACAGTAGAAGTGTTTTTGTGACGACGGACCACCGGTGAACTCGAGGAAGCTGTAAGAGGCTCATAAGGAGCCGAAGACGTTCCATCCAATCACCTTTCGGAAGAATGTTCTAGAATTCCAACGTGTAGCTTCCCCATTGGATAATGCTAATAACCCCCTGTACGTGGATTGGAAGACTGTAATGATGATTTCGTTCTCACTAAAAACTATAAATACATGACAATTTTGTACTATGTTTGACACTGTTTGGAATAATATTCCTTTCGTTAGTCTTCTGTCTTCTTATTGCGACTTGGAATGGTTTGGTGTTCTAGTGCTCAGTTATACGCGGTTGTATCAAGAAAAATCAGCTTTTTCAAGTTATAACATCTGGCGACGGGTTATTGTATCAATATGTCACTTACCTTGGAACAATTTGAAGCCTTATTGGAACGCCAAGAAAAGTTCCAGATGCGCATGTTAGAGATGCTAACGCAGAAAATGAACCTGGATCAAAAAGAAGTTACAGATGATCCCTTCAAATCTCATGTTGACCAGATTGTTAATTCTATCCATGAATTTAATTTTGATGGTTCAGCTGGCATTACTTTTGAAACTTGGTTCAAGAAATATGAAGATTTGTTCAAGGTCGACCTCAAAAAACTTGATGACGCCGCTAAGGTCAGAATACTCTTGCGAAAACTTGGAACTGTTGAACATGAACGTTACAGTAACTTTATCCTTCCAAAGAATCCAAGAGATTTTTCTTTTGATGCAACGATTGGAATTTTGTCGCAAATCTTTGCTGAACAGTCATCTTTGTTTAACATTCGTTATCAATGTCTCAAGATGACAAAAGCAGGTGATGATGACTGGGTGAAACATGCGGGTTTAGTAAACCGTGAATGTGAGCGTTTCAAACTATCAGCAATGACAGAAGACCAGTTTAAGTGTCTCGTATTTGTGTGCAGCCTCCAATTTCCCGAAGATGCCGATATTAGAACTAGAATTTTGAGTAAAATTGAACAATGCCCGAATATGACACTACAAGAAGTAACCGCAGAGTGCCAGAGATTGGTGAACCTAAAGCATGATACTTCGATGGTCGAAAATAATGGCCAGTTGCCATACGTTCGTGCTGTAAGTGGAAAGAACGATTCTTGCTCAAGAAAGGCATCGCACACAGATAATCAGCCTTCATCTCCATGTTGGTCTTGTGGTGGTTGGCATTATAAAAGGTTCTGCCCATATAAAGAACATTGTTGTAGCAAGTGTCATCGCAAGGGACATAAAGAAAACTGCTGCAGAAAAAGAACCCATAAACGACATTCTTTGAAACCCTACTCGAGGAAATACAGATTTAGTGCTCGAACTAACAAAATATTGGTATCACATAATCGAGCACGAACTTGCCGCCAAAGAAAGTATGTAAACTTGGATATAAATAAAAAGCGTGCCCGCCTGCAACTCGACACCGCTTCTGACATCACACTTATTAGTCAGAGAACTTGGAATCTTATCGGTAAACCACAGGTGCTCCCAACAACCCAGTTAGCTCACAGCGCATCTGGAGGGAAACTAAATATTGTTGGAGAGGTTTGTTGTACAGTCTCGAAGGGAAATGCGGAAACGAATGCAACTTTATATCTTACACAGAATCCAGGACTAGATTTGCTAGGTCTACACTTGATAGAAGCACTTCAATTAGCAAATCACCCCATTAACCACATATGCAGCGCAGTGAGAACCAGTAAACCGGTGGAAAAGGATCTGAAGAGTGTTGTATTGGAAAGACACAGTCAAGTGTTTACGGAAGAGTTGGGGGAATGCAAAAAGGTTAAAGCACTATTGATTCTTAAACCGGGAGTCACCCCAGTCTTCAGACCAAAACGTCCGGTACCCTATGCAGCACTACCTATTGTTGAACAAGAATTAGAACGTCTGCAAAGAAGAGGAATAATCGAACCAGTAAACTTTTCTGATTGGGCAGCTCCAATAGTGATTGTTAAAAAGCCTAATGGAAGTATCCGGTTATGTGCAGATTATTCGACTGGATTAAATGAAGCGCTTGAAGCCCATCAATACCCATTGCCGGTACCAGAAGATTTATTTGCAAAACTGAATGGGGGTAAGTATTTTGCGAAATTAGACCTATCAGACGCTTATCTACAGATTCCGGTAGCGGATGAGTGTAAGCATTACTTGACAATAAACACTCACAAGGGATTGTTCCGATATAACCGACTTCCTTTTGGAGTAAAGACTGCCCCTTCAATCTTCCAACAAGTTATGGACACTATGCTACAAGACATTCCTGGTACCGCGGCTTATCTCGATGATATATTGATCATGGGTACAGACTATGCTGATTTAGAGAATAAGGTGGATACGGTTCTCAGACGCATAGCAGATTATGGATTAAGACTGCGTGCCGAAAAATGTGATTTTTACATGGAGCAAGTCCGGTATTTGGGATTCATAATTGATAAAAACGGGAGAAAACCTGATCCTGAAAATGTCGAACCCATTAAGTCCATGCCTCCACCGACGGATGTGTCAACTTTACGTTCTTTCTTGGGAATGGTTAGTCATTATGGAGTTTTTCTGCCAGGTCTGCATCGCCATCGTGCTCCTCTTAATTGCTTATTGAAAAAGGATACTAAATGGTTCTGGTCAACTGAATGCCAAGAAGCATTCCTAAAACTGAAGCAGCTTCTATCATCGAATCTTCTCCTTACACACTATGATCCCGATCTTCCAATTATAGTCGCAGCAGATGCGTCGAACTACGGAATTGGAGCAGTAATTGCACATGCCTACCCTGACGGTTCTGAGAAAGCAATCGCTCACGCTGCGAGATCTCTGACTATGACTGAAAGAAACTACAGTCAAATTGAAAAAGAAGCCCTCGCGATTATATTTGCTGTAAAAAAGTTCCACAAGATGTTGTTTGGTCGGCAGTTCACCTTACTTACAGACCATAAACCTTTACTGACAGTTTTTGGATCTAAAAAAGGCATCCCGGTATATACAGCAAACCGGCTACAGAGATGGGCTACCACACTGCTGGGTTATGATTTCAAGATAAATTATCAACCAACAACGGATTTCGGACAGGCAGATGCACTCTCAAGATTGATTGGTCTGCATGAAAAACAAGAAGAAGAGGTGCTTGTAGCTGCTATAGATTTCGAGGCCGAGGTTCACAAAATATTGTCAGACGCCATTAAAGAGGCCAGCAAGAAGGATAATGTATTAAAGATTGTTCGCCATTGCATACTCAATAAATGGCCTTCATCTAGATTACACAGAGAACTCTTACAATACTTTCGTCGACGAGAGTCATTAACAGTTGTCGATTCATGTATAATGTTTGGCCATCGTATCGTTATCCCCAGAAATCTTCGACACCAAGTCATTAAACAGTTCCACAGCGGGCATCCGGGGATAAGTAAAATGAAGTCACTAGCTCGTAGCTATGCATACTGGCCGTCAATGGACCATGAGATAGAGCAAAAATGTCGCAGCTGTTGGTCCTGTCAAGAGGCTGCAAAGAATCCAACGAGAGCTGAGCCACAACCATGGCCTAAACCGGACGGGCCTCGGCAAAGAATACATGCTGATTTCGCCGGACCGATACAAGACAGGAATTACTTAGTTGTTGTAGATGCTTTCACAAAATGGCCGGAAGTATATGACATGCCGAATACGACTTCAGAGAGTACCATAAGAAGATTTTCAGGATTGTTTGCCTGTTTTGGGGTTCCAGAGATCTTAGTGACTGACAATGGTACTCAGTTTATGTCATCTGCCTTCAAACGCTTCTGCAACGAGAATGGCATATTGCATCTACAATCTCCTCCATACCATCCTCAGTCGAATGGCCAGGCAGAAAGATTCGTGGATACAATTAAAAGAGCTCTGGTCAAAGGGGGAGGTGAGGGTGTCCCGGAACAAGTGATTAATAAGTTCTTGATGTCTTACAGAGTTACCCCCAATCCGGCAGTACCAGAAGAAAAGTCTCCGGCCGAGTGTATGTTCGGAAGGAAAATCCGGACAGTTTTTAACAGTATGTTGCCGCCCAGAAAGACAAATAAACCCACGAATGAAAATCGTAAGGTCAATCGTAGCTTCCAGGTGGGTGAAAAGGTACTTGTCAGATCGTATCAAGGTAATAGGAAGTGGGAACCAGGTGTCATAGAACGTCGAATCGGAAATGTGCTGTACCTAGTCCGGAAAGATGTCGGAAAATGCATAAGACATATAAATCAAATGCAAAGAAATGATAGTACAGTGGTCCCAGAAAACCGGCTCCCATTTCAATTGCTCGTAGATTCGTCTCAGAAGAACCATCATGAGCGCAAATATCGAAAAGACAAACGACGCAGAGAGAAGGCTGTACAACCTTCGAGAGTAATGGACCGCAAGAGGAATGTGACACCCAAGCTTCAGGTGGATCCAAGAAAAAAATCTTACACAACGGACTTTAAAGGGGGGAGGTGTGACGACGGACCACCGGTGAACTCGAGGAAGCTGTAAGAGGCTCATAAGGAGCCGAAGACGTTCCATCCAATCACCTTTCGGAAGAATGTTCTAGAATTCCAACGTGTAGCTTCCCCATTGGATAATGCTAATAACCCCCTGTACGTGGATTGGAAGACTGTAATGATGATTTCGTTCTCACTAAAAACTATAAATACATGACAATTTTGTACTATGTTTGACACTGTTTGGAATAATATTCCTTTCGTTAGTCTTCTGTCTTCTTATTGCGACTTGAAATGGTTTGGTGTTCTAGTGCTCAGTTATACGCGGTTGTATCAAGAAAAATCAGCTTTTTCAAGTTATAACAGTTTTGACACTTATATTGAAAATTTTGGCCTTGGTGTTGGTTGACAGACAGTTGTTTTGAGTCCCAGATGTTCTTCAGTTGTAAATATGCCGCTCTTACTTTTACGATCCTCACATTCACATCCGCATCAGATCCATCGTGTTCGTCAATGATGTTGCCCAAATATGTAAAAGTTTTCACATGTTCTAAATCTTCTTCAAGTGTGATTCGATTGTTACATGTTGTATTGTATCTCTCCCGATCCTCACATTCACATCCGCATCAGATCCATCGTGTTCGTCAATGATGTTGCCCAAATATGTAAAAGTTTTCACATGTTCTAAATCTTCTTCAAGTGTGATTCGATTGTTACATGTTGTATTGTATCGGAGAATCTTGCTTTTCCCTTTGTGTATGTTGAGACCTACTGATGCTGAGGCTGCTTCTACATTGGTCGTGTTCTACTGCATTTGTTGTTGCGTTTGCGATAGAAGGGCCCGACCATCTGCGATGTCAAGATCGTCTAGTTGCATCCTAGCTGTCCACTGTATCCCATGATTCCCGCCGGATGTTGACGTCTTTATGATCCAATGGATCACCGGGAGAAAGAGAAAGGTTGAGAGTAAGCAAACTTGCTTGACACCACTCTTTACTTCGAACAACTCCGTCCATTGTGACATTTGGTATAAGAAAAAAAGGACGGATCGAGCGAAGAAATTTCCTTTCATTTTTTATTAAGACTTTACATTTGAGCGGTCCTGGTACTTTTGGCTGATGAGTCTTACATAGGGAAAGAAGAGAGACTTGAATTCTACTGCTAGCTACATTCCGTCTATTCTATGCATAGATTTTGTTCAAGAATCCTAAATTTCATTTAATTCTAAAATATTTAGGTATTCAACTCCACCTGGAGTCCCTCCGGGGGCTACTGCCGGTCCCAAGCCCGGATAAAGGAGGAGGGTTGGGCATGAGGTTAGCGTCTCCATCCCGTAGAAAACTAACTCGCTAAAAAACGCTAACCAGAAAAAATTATTCAAACCTTCTAAACTCTGACCCGGGAGTCAGAAGGTCTTCTTTTAGAAGAACAATGACGCCTCATGATGAAAGCCGAATTCCTTCGGAAGTTACGAGGCCGATGCCCCTTTTGACAACCAGAGCAACCCATTATTTAGGTACATGGAATGTTCGTACAATGTGGGACACCGGGAGCATTCCAAATTGCTGCAGAAATGAGAAGATACAACCTAGAGGTACTTGGGATCAGTAAAACACATTGGACGCAAGTTTGACAATAACGACTAACTTCAGGAGAACTTCTGTTATACTCCTGCCATGAAGAAGAAAATGCCCCACATACACAAGGAGTTGCATTGATGCTGTCCAAACAAGCGCAAAATGCACTTAAAGGATGAGAATCTCATGGACCAAGGATCATCAAAGCGTTCTCCAAGCACAATGAAAGAGGACATTACAATGAACATCATCCAATTCTATGCGCCTACCAACGACTAAAATGAAGAAGCTAAAGATCAATTCTACGATAGGCTGCAGTCAATCATCGAGAAGTGCCCATCAAAGGATCTGACCATTCTGATGGGAGATTTTAATGCCAAGGTTGGAATGGACAACACCGGATATGCAGACAACATGGGACGACACGGACTGGGAGAAAGTAACGAAAATGGTGAGAGATTTGCAAACCTATTTGCCTTCAGTAAACTGGTCATAGGCGGATCTGTATTCCCACATAAGCGCATTCACAAAATCACATAAACTTTACCGGAACACACCACGCAAACCCAAATCGACCACATCTGCATCAACCAAATGTTCAGGAGGACGATGGAAGACGTGAGAATGAAGAGAGGAGCTGATATAGCATCAGATCATCACTTGCTGGTCGCCAAGATGAAAATGAAACTCAAGAAGCACTGGACAACGGGGCGGACAATATCACAAAAGTTCAATACGGCCTTTCTTCAGGATACTAACAAACTCAACAAATTCAAGATAGTCCTCAGCAACAAAGTTCCAGGCCTTTCATGATCTACTCAATGGAGAAGGAACTACTATGTAGAGCAACTGGAAGCGGATCAAAGAGGCAATCACTTCAACATGCCATGAGGTCCTGGGCCACAAGGAATGGATCACTGGATATGATTCAAGAAAGAAGGAACAAGAAGGCAGCGATCAATACCAGTCGAACAAGAGCAGAAAAAGCCAAGGCGCAAGCTGAATACACAGAAGTAAACAAACAAGTGAAGAGGAGCATCAGAACCGACAAACGTAAATATGTGGAAGATCTAGCAACGACGAAGGAAAAGGCTGCAAGAGAGGGAAACATGAGACAACTGTATGACATAACAAAGAAACTCTCTGGAAATCGCCGCAAACCAGAGCGACCAGTGAAAAGCAAGGAAGGCGAGGTAATCACCAACATTGAAGAGCAACGAAACAGGTGGTAGAACACTTCAAAGTACTATTGAACCGACCAGCCCCACTGAACCCACCCAACATCGAAGCAGCACTCACGGACCTCCCAATCGATGTTGGCCCATCAAAATTTGAAGAAATCAGTGGACATCCAGGATGCAGTTGGACGATCTAAACTTCGCAGATGATATGGCCCTCCTATCGCAAAAACAAATGCAGGAAAAGAAGACCAGTCTAGCAGCAACCTCAGCATCAGTAGGTTTCAATATACACAAAGGGAAAAGCAAGATTCTCCGAAACAACACAGCATGAACGAATCCAATCACGGTTGATGGAGAAACTTTGGAAGATGTAAAAACCTTTACATATTTGGGCAGCATCATTGATGAACAGGGTGGATCTGATGCAGATGTGAAGGCGCGGATCGGCAAAGCAAGAGCAGCATATTTACAACTGAAGAACATCTGGAGCTCAAAGCAACTGTCAACCCACACCAAGGTCAGAATTTTCAATAAAAATGTCAAGACGGTTCTACTGTATGAGGTGGAAACTTGGAGAACTACGAAAGCCATCATCCAGAAAATACAGGTGTTTATTGACAGTTGTTTACGCAAAATACTTCGGATCCGTTGGCCGGACACTATTAGCAACAACGAACTGTGGGAGAGAACATACCAGATCCCAGCGGAGGAAGAAATCAGGAAGAAGCGATGGAAGTGGATAGGACACACATTGAGGAAAGCACCCAACTGCGTCACAAGACAAGCCCTCACATGGAATCCTCAAGGCCGGAGGAGGAGAGGAAGACCAAAGAACACATTACACCGGGAAATGGAGATAGACATGAGAAAATGAACAAGAACTGGGTGGAATTAGAAAAGAAGGCACAGGACAGGGTGGGTTGGAGAATACTGATCGGCGGCCTATGCTCCATTGGGAGTAACAGGCGTAAGTAAGTGTATTTAGGTATTCAAACGAGTGATGTGCTCAAACTTTGACGTAACGTTGTTAAGTAAACATGCATGCTTACGTGTAAAAGGTAATTTTACTACCCAACTGTTGGAACTGAGATGATGAATGAAGGGAGGAGAGTTCGAACCTGGAACTCACTGTCATCCATTCAGGGGAATCGACAGAGTAAACTAATGTATATACATATCACGTGTCTGTGCTAAAATGCTAAGTAAGAGATTCTAACCAAGACACATTGTTAGGGATTTCAATCTACATGAACATATCTGTTGAGATGGCTTTGAAAAACATGATGAAACCTCCAGAGGCTCTAAAAGACCCAAGGAGATTCTATCTAATCAAGACCTGATAGAGCTTCGTAAAATATCAACGTGGCATGCTACGATTGGACAACAGCAAAAGTTGCCTGAATTATAACCAACACTCAATAATCACCTCCCCATGCGTTTTCCTTCCGATTTGCAACTATGGGGTTCTACATGTTCGAGTAACATTATTTATTTATTGTATTCACCAATTAAACTTCTTTTTACGTTTCAAACTTCTTATAAACATAATTAAATTTTGTATACCATAAGAAATGTATAATATCATAGCTGAATTGGAAAACGAACAAAAATATATTGAGATAAACCAAAAAGAATGAAGGAAGGTAAAGAACTGACTATCCATCTTTGCTTATAATACTTGTGACTTAAGGTAATATCGACGCTATAACGCACAGTATGCACATATGCCAACAAAAGGTTGATCAATTCAGTCTTAAATATCAATGGGAAGATACAATCAAGCAACACCAAGTGTATATAACTTCACCCCATTGCACAAGCAATTGGCTATCGAGACTCAGTAGCTAAGTGGATAACGTGATGGCGTTTGAATCAAATGGTACTGGGTTCGAGTCTCGAAGTGAACATCAACTTTCTGAAATGTAGGCAAATCCAGCTGAGGAGTCGCAAATGGGACGAAAAACGGGCGTCAAACTGGATTCCACTGTTAGCCACTATGCTTGTGAATTCAAGCAATATCGAGGCAAATACACACAGTATGTACATATGTCAATAAGAGAGATTGATCAATTTCAGTCCTAAACATGAATAGGAAAATTCAAGTAAACAATACAAAAAGGGATTATTCAAAGAACTAACCTGTTCCATATGTTTACGTGCAGCTAATAAACCACGTAATAGAAGAAATTTAAAATATTCAAATAAATCACTATTTAAACCACCTATAACATCAATTTGTTCTAATGTTAATTTAAATGGACTTGTTTCAAAGCCTAAATTTTTCCCCGGTGATGATGATAAAATGAAACCATAATCAATATGTATTACATGACCTTGATTATCTAATAGTATATTACCATTATGTCTAGATAAAATGAAGGAAGAAAAAAGAAACGATGGTAAACAAGAAGATATAACATAAATCACAGTAATAATAAGTGACGAAAACTTACATTATACAACTTAGAGTGGTTATCTGGATTCAATAGCTAAATGCATAATGCGATGGGATTTAAAGCGAAAAGTAACTGGTTTGAGTCTTAGAGTGAACATACACTTTCGGATACAAGTAGCCCCCCAAATGCCCTGGTACGGCCGAGAGTAGGGAGAGTTCGCTCTCTCTCCCTCTCTCGAAATGCTCTTACATGGCCACGTGTATATAGCCTCTGCCAGGGAACTTTTACTCACTGCCTTCTCACACCATGGGTGTTGTTTACGAAAATGGGAGGACGAAAAGCGAATGTTTGGCGCTTTAACAGGATTCCAAACCAATGGTGTACATGGGCCTCAGAAACAAATGGCGTATGAACCAATTGTTGGTCACCGACTACCATGGGACTGCATCTCCTGACGATGCTCCACTGCCTTGTGGATCAGACCTTCAGGTCGAAGGCTCTTGATGCGGCCCCCTGAGAAAATCACCTGCTTCGATTTGGGCACTCGAGAAGTATCACAGCCCTCACAGATATCGAATGAGATTTGCGTGGCGCATATGTATTTGGGGCCTCCTTGTACCAATATCTATGTGTTAAAATAAAAGATCCGACTGACGAGTTTTAAATAAGACAAAATGCTCATCTTGGATTCTAATGCTAGCCACTATCAATCTCTGTTTAAAATTACGTTAGTTACATTCTAGTGGATATAGGATGATTGTGTGAACACATATTATTGCACAATAAATTGTTTACTTGAAGTGATATGTTTGTCGAGTTAAGAATGGGTTGGGGGAAAGCTAGGAATGGTCAAACCAAGACATATATATAGAGCAATAGCTTAGTAGTTAAGCCGTTCAACTTCCAGTAATTATGTCTTGGGTTCGAATTTCGTTCCATCTAGTTTGCTTAAAGCAACGGAGTTGTATCCTTATCCTTCATATACCCAAGTACATGGTGAATGAGTATACATGTCTAAACCAAAACATGGCATCAGATTATGCACTCGTTGATTGTCATGTCTATAGATACAAATTACCTGGTTAAGATCCTCATGATTAGTAGTCGAAGACTTTGTGTGGCATAGTTTAGAATCTGTGAACATGGCACAGATACATTCACTTTCTATAATTTTCTCAGTTTTGATTAACAATATTCTTTCAAATATAACTTTATATTCCGTCTTTTCGTATTCGATTCTCAATGTTCAGTCTTCCTTATCATTATTATTACTATTACTATACTATTCCAATCTCTTTTACAACAGTTCTTATTATATTCATCTCGTCGTGGTGATGTGGTTGAACCAACGTGTATTGATTATGATTGAGATTTAGAACAAAAAAACTACGGAAATATTTATCATTCACAATTGCACGTGGATGTCTTGAAAGTACTTCTAACGTAGTGTAGAAGTGAGGAATGAGTAACGTAGGATTACTTATGTTGTGATGAGTCGTGACCGAGAACTGATACTGATACACTCTCTTTCAATACATGAGCTTAGCTACTTAAGAAAAAAAGGTAAAGAATGAGTAAAGAATTTATTTGGCTAACCAAGTCAAGACACAATTGTACACTAGTTTAGAATAATCTATCTTTCTATTAATCCTATCAGTAGTTCATATATCACTCCTTGTAAAGTTTAGCCATCCATTGACCCACCACGCGCACTTATTAGTTTGGCGATTTTTGATTGGCCCACATCATCCATTCTGTGCAGATATGTGAAATTTGGTTTGATGAGGCCATAAATCTACATTCATTAACGTAGAGGACTGGTATCCCCGAGTGTAGGGAGAGTCCGTTCTCCCTCTCGAGGTGCTTTCACATGGCCACGCGTATAAAGTTACTTCTAGAGAAATCCTGTCCACTGCCTTATCGCTGTTGGGATTTTGTTTACGAAATTAGGAAGGTGGGAGGAGAATGTCTGGCACTTTAATCGGGTTGGTCGACATGGAAGATCTACCTAGGGTAGTTGAAATACCCTGATTACAAACCAATGGTGTACATGGGCTCCAGTAGCTTAAAAGAACAAATGGTGTATGAAACTATTGTTAGTCACCGGTTATCATGGGACTACATCTCCTAATGTTGCTCTACTACTTTGTGGATTGTACTTCTAAGACAAAGGTTCAGGAAAGTAACCCTATGAGAAAATCACGTTTCGGTTCGGGCGATCGGGCAGTATCCCAGCCTCTTGTTAAGTGTTTATGTGTTAAATAAGTAATTCGACTGATATTCTTAAGTGAATACGAAACAAATGATTATGCAATAGACTTATCAAAAAACAAAACTAATGACTCACCGATCTTTAACTTGAAACAAATAACCGACTAAACAATAAGCGGCACAACTATGTAGAAAATTACGTTGAGCAGTTAAAAACTCCTCAGAGTTATCTCCACCATGTTCACGATGCATATAATCTAATAATGATAAATGAGCATGTCGTTTGATTTGATGAAATGATACAGTATCAGGGACAGGTTCAATAAAACCACTATCAGATGATATAACAACTACAGTTAATGGACGTAACCATAATGGAACATACTCCATTGACCAAATATTCTATTTATGAAAAACAAATAAATACAGAATGTAAGTTTGTAATACAAGAATGGATTATTTGGAAAAGGTGAAATGTTTAAAACTGATAGTAAATTAATTCAATTTCGAGAACTGCCTTCTCGTGGCGGGGGTGTTGTTTACGAAATTGAGAGGATGAAAAGCGAATGTTTGGCGCTTTAACCGGGTTGGTGGACATGGAGAGTTCACCTAGGGGAGTTGGAAAACTCTGAGTACAAACCAATGGTGTACATGGGCTCCAGTAGCATAAAAGAACAAATGGTGTATGAACCAATCGTTGGTCACCGACTACCATGGGACTGCCTTGTGGATCAGACCTTCAGGTCGAAGGCTGGGGGAGTGGCCCCCTAAGAAAACCCCCTGCTTCGGTTTGGGCACCCGAGCAGTATCACAGCCCTTACAGATATCGAATGAGATTTGCGTGGCGCATATGTATTTGGTGCCTCCTTGTACCAATATCTGTGTTAAAATAAACAATAACTCAAAATCTGGAGGCACTAAACAGCTGTTTTTTTGTTTCCAAGTATGGGACTATTTATAAATGTGCATCTACAAAGAATCGAGCCCAAGAACTTTGGTCTATTGCATGAATTCATAACTTCGAAAACAGTGAACCAGAATCCAAAAGTGTACAAGTCTAAGTTCAATCAATCTGTGATACTGGGTGTAAAGTGTGATCGATAAACGAACTTACCAATGATAAAGTGAAACGCCCACCACCAATTTAACTTTCTTTGACTTTGTATGAATATGTCTTGTTTATTCAACAATCACAATTTTATGTTCATTATAAAACAATATTTGCCTTGTTGACTCATTTTCCCATTCTCTAGTTACTGTTCGGTGTGTCTCTGTTTTTCCCTGTGTTGATAGACTGTATTGCTTATTTTCAACAGTTGAGATCATGAGCCAATTGGAGCTAGACCACCATGGAAAACCTGGAAGCACTGGACGGCCGTTCCGTGTTATTGTGAGACTCCTCAGCAGTGTGCATCCACGACCCTGCTTCGCGGGATTCGGACCCAGGACCTATCAGTTTCGCGCCAGGCGTTTGACCAACCAGACTACTGAGCCGGCATCCAACGGTGTTAATGTCTAACTTCAATTAATCCACGAAATTGAGCGACACATCCACCAATGTCATCAGTGAGTTACCATCTCACAACTGACCCGGTTGAACTCCACCGGTCACTGCTTCTCACTAGAACTCCAGGGTATATCTCTTGAAGCCAGTCACTAGTGAGCATATGCTGATTAATATCAGAAGGGGTTTTGTGGAGATTGTAGTAGCACTGCTGAGGAGTCTCACAATAGAATGAAACGGCCGTCCAGTGCTTCCAGGTTTTTCATGGTGGTCTAGCTCCAATTGGCTCATGATCTCAACTGTTGAAATTACTACAATCTCCACAAAAACCCTTCTGTATTGTTTATTTTGTATACTAACGGTTTTAATTTATGTTTTAGAACCAGATAAAGTTTATCAAGCCAAATAGCTTACTTGTTCTGACTTTGGCTAAACCGAGACTATGTGTTCAACAGTCTAGAGAATATCTTAAAGTTACACCTGTAGGAAATTGCTTCCTACATTGGGTTTCGGGTCAATGTTCTAGAGGTTAGGCATTCACCATAAGATGAAAGGTTCAGGTTCCGAGACTCAATGCTTGGAGGGGGTCATGGATACACACTGCGTCCCATACTAAGACAAAACAGTTATTCAGTAGTTGTCTAACATAAATCGGCATGCGATGTCAATCATATTTACCAATCTCTACAACCATATATTGATATATATCTATCATTATTATTATGTAATTATTAAAAATAGTTGGTGTATAATGTTTCAATATTGTCCGAATTATAAGGTCATATTCGAAATATTGTATCGTTGATCACTAACCAAAATCATATGCTTAAGTTATCAATTAGAATTCTAGTCTGAATTTCAGTTTATTCCGTATTTACACTAACATCTCTCTCTCTCTTGCAACCAAATCTATGTCCTAGACTTGACCGATTATCCTTCTGATCTACATAGTTCATTTAAAACCCGTACAAGTTAAGCTAATATTGACCCATTTTATTTGAAAGCTTTTCTCTACATTCTTCCTTGAGTCAACAACAGGCTTCTATGAATAACATATTAAAAGCATATGTTCGTTTATATACAGACATACTAGACCGTATCTGATCGTAAAATGAAAAAAATCACAACTATACATGAACAAACCAAAAGTAGCTGTGAATAACCGACTGGTAATAAATTAAGCATAATAAACAGTATTATGATAAATTCACTTGGTATTGGTTTACTTGAATCTTCCTATTGATGCTTAGGACTGAAATTGATTAGTCGCTTATTGGCATATGTGCATCCTGTGAGTATTGCCTCGATATTACCTTAAGTCACAAGCATTATATGAAAAGACGGATAGTGTCTAGCAGTGAAATCCAGGACGCGCGTTTCGTCAGGACTCAGTAGCTAAGTGGATAAAGTGATGGCATTTGAAGCGAACGGCACTGAGTTCGAGTCCCAGAGTGAATATCAACTTTGAGATGCAGATACATCCAACGGATGAGTCCCGAATAGGACGAAACGCACGTCAAACTAGATTCCACTGCTAGCCACTACTTATCTTTGTATATAGTATTAGGATAGTTAGTGAGTTGAATGAGAATGTATGATAAACGGAAAAGACATCAGAATCTAGTTACATGGTAATTACATAACAAAAATACAAATAATAGTGATAGTAATAATTGGAAAACCAGTTCCAGCATCTACGAAATTCATCCTATTGTAACACGGAGAATTACAGTATTTGTTGAAAGCAGACACTTTATTGAAAGTTTTATGAACTACATTGATGATTAGTCTTAGAGGTGTGTATTGGCGGCAATACAAGAAACTGACCAAATTTCAAACGCTTAAAATTTTTTATTTCCTCTCTCTTTCAATGCCCATCTTCATTAAATATGAAGCCTTTTAGAGAGATACCAGTTATATATAGGTTATGATGATTTCGCATTTATGACAAGTTGTAGTCCTGTAATTGATCTATAGCATCATCTAAATCTTTAAATTATAATAATGAAAGATAAATCAATTTGCTGTTGTCGTTCTTTTCTCTAAATTGGCTGTTATAGATAGAAGGAGCTTCTTTAGAGAAGTACGAATTTGTATTTCTAAGTGTTATTGGTTGAAGAGAAGATTACGGCTTTGACAAGGATAAATGTTGTATATTTTTTGAAAATAATAGATTCTTGAATTGTACTATCGATGGTATGATCAGACTGTTTATTATGGGAGCAGTTGTATTTTTTTTCAATCCGATTATCGGCATATTCGTCTATATTGAGTGTAGAACCAGTGACCTTCAACTTGTGGCATAACTTATTCTCTTAACTAACGTCTTAGTAGTAGTGAATGACTTGAGAATTTTAATGTTTACTAGTTCTCAAGCTCTTTTCAATCAGAAGATGAACATAGCAAACAGATTAACTTTCTGTTGTACTTCTATTCATTCATGATTCAAAATGAATACAATAATAATATTTCAACTCTCTGATTACAAAAACGAAGTTACAATATGTATACATCACAACTTAGTCGTAAGTGATAAGAAAACGAGACAATGACGGAAAGAATAACCAAAGTGTCTGCTCTTTGTGTTCTCCCAAATTCTAATCTCTTCAATTCTCCTTGTCTCTTTCTTTCTTCTATTTCCAAATTTATTTCACTGGATTATACTCTTTGAATAAAATCTTCAAACCTTAATCTTTCCGATTACTGCTTATACTCTTACCGCCTCTACCACTACGGGATTTGAATCGACAATTGTATCTCTGTGTTAATGTGGTGTAGCAACTCGAACTGATGTACGTACGTACGAAGTTCTACGTTGTTACTGACTGATTAATTATTATATAATAAAAATATGAAGAATGATTATCCTTATTATTAGTATAGGGTTGTGGAGATGATCATGTTTTTGATTGATATCATAAGCCGGTCGGTGTTAGACCATCAATGAAAACCTGTAAGCACTGAACGACCGTTTCATCCTATTGTGGGATTCCTCGTCAGTGCGCATCCACGATTCCGCTCGCTGGATTTCAACCCAGGACCTTCGGTTTCGTGCGCAATGCTTAACCGCTGGACGACAGAACCGGCATCTAACGGTGTAAATGTCTAACTTTAATCAATCCACAAAATTGCACGACCATCTTTCACTGTACTGAGGTAGAGACCTGTTTCTACCTTAAATGGATTCGCTCCACTGGTCACGAATTCTCATTAGAACTTCGAGAATTGCATCACGAGGCTAGTCACTAGTGAGCACAAAAATCTTGATAGTTCAATGTTTCTTGTATCATAATCAATATGTTAGAAGAAAAATTAGTAGTTAGTAACACCTAAAATCTCGTGATCTGATAAGAAGTTTAAGATCAATAACGAGAAGAAATTTAGATGAACTTAGAAAGAAGTAGCAATAAATTTATTAACTGATTTTTAATAATAAAAATCAATCAATAATGAGATCAAAATATAAAACTGTCCTTATACTATTAGAGACTATGAACCCGGGAAGTGACGATGGCTGATTTCAGTACTTCAGTTTATCAACCATTAAAGAAGTTAAATTATTGGGATGTGATTACAATTGAGGACTACAGTAAGTTCTAATTTTAAACGATTAAGAATCATTGGTTCATTTTTTTTATTGTTTGTTTGATTCATCCCAATGATGTTTAGAATCGAATTGGCATATGTGAATCCTGTACGAATTGCCTCGATATTGCTTTAAGTCACAAACATTATAAGCAAAGATGATTGGTGGCTAGCAGTGGAATTCAAGACGCGCATTTCGTCCCATTTAGGGCTCGTCAGTTGGATGTATCTGCATCCCACAGTTAACGACCACTTCGGGATTCGTACTCAATACCTTTCCCTTCAAACACCATAGCATTATCTATCAAGCTACTGTACAAACTAGTGGTTATATGAACTCAGTAGCTAAATAAATAAGGCGATGATGTTTGAAGTGTATGATTTCGCCACATTGTGCAAGGATACTTCTTCTTGAGGGACCTAGAAATGAAATGGGACTAAGTGTGGATTTTGAAAACCTGTAAGTGTAACCGCGAAGCAGCAGGGACAATCGCTTGAGGTCGGATATATACGACCTATTTTGCGAGTATCTTTTTTTATCAGACTTTACCTCACCTGAGATAGAAATCGATATGGCAAGGTAAGGTGTGCTATTTTTACAGCCGACGTCTTTCAACTTCTTCCTTCGGTTAGCATTGTTGCAGATGCTTGTTTGATACAGTCACGGAGTTCGAAATCACCAGAAAACACATGAACTCATGATATGATTTCTCGTTTGGTAAACAATAAGACGTAAATTATTAGTCGAAGAAAAAATATAAGAAGATACGAATATATAAAACAGTTAGAATAAGATAAAACTTACTTTTAACACAGTAAGTAATTGATAAGCTAATTGTTCTTGTCTTAAATCATCACCAACTTTTACAATTGCACTGGTTAGAATCCATCCTGGTAAACTACCCCATGGTGATGTAGCACGTATACGTTCACATTTTACATGCCATGGTTCTTTTAGCACTGCTGCACTTGGATCTTCTGGATCACACTAAAAATAATTAAAAAAAACTATATAAACACATAAAGACAGATTATTGTAGAGTCTGGAAGAAGAAATATATGTTAACTCAAACTACTATATCATTTCAACATGACGAGATGAAATTATCAGGATGAAAAGAAAATGAGTCGAAATAAGAGCAGCAGCAGCAGTGATATTGAGAAAGATTAAACGCTGAAGATATGATTGGAATCATGAAGCGATCTAAGTTAGACTACCACTGAAAACCTGGAAGCACTGGGCTACCGTTTCCCCTAGCATAAGACTTTTCAGTAGTGAGCATCCATGTTCCCATTCGTGTGCGAGACCGAAGGTCTTAGGTTTGAGTTCTGCGTGAAGGATCGTGAATGGGAACTGTGGAGGAATCCCTGGTATGGCCAAAGGTGGGGACAGTTAGCTCTCCCCTATTCAAATACTCTCACATGGCTACGTGCATACAACCACTGTCAGGGAAGTCATACTCACTGCCTTCTCACACCACGAGTATTGTTTACAAAATTGAGAAGACGAAAAGCGAATGTCCGGCACACTAACCGGGTTGGTGGATATGGAGGATCCACCTAAGAGAGTTGGAATATCCTGATTACAAACCAATGGTGTACATGGGCTTCAGTATCCTGAAGGGACAAACGGCATATGAACCAATCGTTGTTCACCGGCTACCATGGGACTGCATCTGGTGACGTTGCTCCACTCCCTTGTGGATCAGACCTTTGGGTCGAAAGCTCCGGATGTGGCCCCCTAAGAAAACCCCCTGCTTCGGTTTGGGCACCCGGGAAGTATCACAACCTTCACACAAATCGAATGATTTATGTGGCCCATATCTTACTTACTTACGCCAGTTGCCACTCGTGGAGGAGCAAAGGTCACCCACTAGCATTTTTCACCGAATTCTGCCCTGGAAAATCCTTTCCAGACGTTTCCAGATGCTATTCATCCTATTGATGTCTGTTCACGATTTCAGATGCAATAGGTTACCTGTTATTCTTTATTTCCTTTTCTCTTCAGGATTTCAAGTTAAGGCTTTTCTATTATACATACTAGTCTCACATATGTCATGATAATTTTATTGCATTGTTCTGATATCTGCCAGGTCTCACCTCATTTAAAACTCCTTGAATAACATTAAATCCAGACTACTTTTTTTAATATTTTATATAATGTATATCAATAAACGGGTTATACAGTGATCATATATTTATGTATACAGATATACTTACTCTAAACGATTTATGCGGTTGAAGTTCACATTGTTCTTTAAGTCGATTACGTATTTCACCAGCTCCAATATAAATTGGAGATTTAGATCGATTAGCATTAGTTACTGTTGTTGAATCAGTAGCTGTGAAAGAATCATCTTTCATTATAGTTTCATTAAGTTCAAATTGATCATGGGTACATTTAGTTGTATGCTCTTTTCTTTCATCCATTTCATCTATAGTTAAATGATAATGAGGATGTTGATGTTGATGATGATGATGATTAAATTCTATAGGATTTATTAATTCTTCACTTAAAGAAACATTAGATGATATAGAAGAGGAACGAAGACTTAATTCATCTGATGTACGTGTATTTACATTGATTTCATGATTTTCTGTTATTTCATTAGATGAAAAACAACCCTTTTCATGAATGATTTGAAAGAAACGAAAGAAAAAAACACATGAATAAAGTTACGTACACACACACACACACAATGATTGTCAATGAAAAAAAGACAATTTGTAATAAAACATAACCCAATTATGCTAGATAGTTAAAGGTAATCAACCAGAAATGTCCTATTCACGTGGATTTCATACTGATTAGTACTTTTTAGTAAAGAGCATTTGTAATCTTGAGAGGATTTACAATTTATATGTGCTATGTTTGAAGAGATTAGGAGATCACCTAAGCTTGGGGAACGAAATGAAGACTTAAGTGATAAAATGATAAGATAAGCTAACTATTTCAATGCGTCTCAGCTCTGCTAACTAGAGGGGAGACATTCAAGTTCAGAACAGGGAAAATGTATTCCACAAGCAGCCAAAAGCACAAATAAAAACAAGTACAACTCAAGTGTATATACAACATAAAAATGTTCTTAGGAAACGTCACAACATAAGCAGATTTCGTCCTATTTAGGACTCATCAGTTGGATGTATCTGCATCCCACAGTTAACAACAACTTCGGGACTCAAACCCAGTACCGTTCGCTTCAAACACCATAGCATTATCTACTTAGCTACTAACTACAAACTAGTGGCTATATGGACTCAGTAGCTAAATGAATAAAGCGATGATGTTTGAAGTGAAAGGTATTGTGTATGATTCCCGGGTTGAATATCAACTCTGGGATGGAGATACATCCAGCTGGTAATTCCCAAATAGGATGAAACATGCGTCCTGGATTTCACTGCTAGCCACTATTCATCGTTGCTTATAATCATTGTATAAGACCATTTAGGAAAACCTAAGTTTCATTCTGATTGAACAAAATGAACATGAAATCTTGAAGGAGATGATACGAACTCTGGGGATCGGAATATATACCGTTGGACAGTTGAAAAGGTTAACATTGGACTAATCACAATAGATAGGATCTATTGATACAATGGAACGTTGGAATAAAGTTTTGAATTCACATTAAGACAATAATTAGATTAACTTTAACGGTATCGATAATTCTAGATTTGGACATTTAAATACCAAAAATTCTTACTTATTTTGGACATGAACTAGTTCTATGTTATTATAGAACATAATTGATAGAATGTCAAAGCTTTCATATGATACTAATCAATGTAATCAGGAATATCTACACAATAATTGAACGTTCTAACAATGTAATGGATATCACAGCTGAAAAACAAATTGAAAACTAGATAGAGAAAGAGAGGTTAGAACGATGTTTTATTTAATTTTGTAACCTCTCATTAATAGGTACTATTACTTTCAACACTGAAGGTTGGAATCATTTACCAATAAGGAGAAGTAGGAATGATAATCCTTGTAATTGCATCTTTGTTTTTAGATTAATTGGCTTTGAATCAGTAGGTTCATGGTTCGAACCCTACTGAATATGTTTGACTAACCGTCAACTAGTATTAATCTGAACAGAAATAGTGTGCTCTAAAGCTTAGTACATATGAACAGGAAATTGAAAAACAAATCACAAATTAGAAGAGTAAAGTAGACAAGAATGATTATATTCATGGAAAAAAAAGTCTGTGTTTAACAGGCTTTATGTGGCTGTAGTAATCTATCCTTATATGTTAAAAGACATTTCTACTCTCCTAAGAATCTATTATCAAATACACGATTACATTTTTACAAAATGGAATATTGCCTTTATAATCATTATTGTGGTAGCCACTAGTGCAAGAAATCAAAGCTAATATGTCATTAATTAGTGTGTATGTAGAAAAAACTCGCTAACAAAACGAAATTGTAATCATTAACCTAAATTCACTTGATCAGTTTAGTGAACCGACTCCACGTGGAATCATTTTACGGTTATTACCAGTCACAAGCCCGAAGTTAAAGGATCTCGTATATCTACTATTAGATTAATTAGGCGTTCGAGATGTTGTACATAATGACAATGAGTGCCGTGCAATTGAACTATCTAACTTACTATTATAAACAACTCATCACTTGGGATGTAAGTTTTCTTCATTATTTTAAAATCTCACGTAAGTACTAGCTTTTCATAACAATACTTAGTCAAAGCATGAAGTTTTTAAACTACGATTTTGCATATATACTACTATGTAGAATGACTCGGTGGCAGAAAAATCTGAATGTATAACATTGTATTTGATAGAGTAAAAGGTGAGCTTTTCAAGAAGCTTTCTGATGTCCTACAGAAGATCAGATACTCCAATGTTGAATCGGTAGTATAGATCGGTGGGCTAAGTCAGTCTGGAAAACACATGGGTATGTCATTTGGTGTCCTAGACTAACGAATGGATAACAGTGACTAGTAACAACATTATTTGTATGTGTTCAATTTCCACGATCTTCTTACTGACTACTGTTGTGTAAGCAAATAAAAAGATGACTATTTATAATAAATTTAAATTATTCAGTATAGGGTTGTGGAGAATATTGAACTCCTTTGAAATTACGAACTAATCCAAGTTAGACAACTATCAAAAGCCTAGAAGCACTAGTTGTGCAATATTGTGGATTGATTAAGGTTAGAATTGTACATCATTGGGCCCCAGCTCAGTAGTCTAGAGGTTTAGTGCTTACGTCCTGAGTTAGATTCTTATGGTGGGGTTGTGAGTGAGCATTGTTAAGTAGTCGCATACTCGAACAAAACGACCGTCCAGTGCTAATTGCTTTTTAATAGTGGTCTAACTTAGATAGTCTCATGATTTCAATTGACTTGTTCAATTTTAACAATGCAGAAAGTGCATTTATTCAACAAATACTTACTGTATGTGAATTAGGATTCCATGGATAAACAGCAGATAATGAATTGGAACTTTTTGAACTAACTGCTGTTATCGGTCGACTTGGTAAAGAAATAATTGATGGATCATCACAGCACAATATTTCCACATAGATTAAAAATGGTGCCTATATTTGTAAGAAAAAGAAACGCTGGTTAAAACGAAAACAAAATAGATATAAGATGTCATACGTAGAGTCAATCGGTCATTGATCTACATTGTATAAGTAAGAAGTTGTTGTGTTGTGCCTTTCTGTTACTGTTTATTTACAACGGACCTGTTAATCAATTCTTTTTCGTTTATAATCTAGTTGTATGTAGATTGTATGTTTCCTATTTCTGCTAATGTGTAATTAAGTAATTAGCCTATACTACCATTACATGAATTTTAGACTGAACTACGTGCCTAAACCGAGGCAGGTGGGTTCCTTAGGGGGCCATACCCGGAGCCACCGACCCAAAGGTCTAATCCACAAGGGAGTGGAGCAACGTCACCAGATGCAGTCCCATGGTAGCCGGTGAACAACGATTGGTTCATACACCATTTGTTCCTTCAGGATACTGGAGCCCATGTGCACCAACGGTTTTTAATCAGGATATTCCAACTCCCTTAAGTGGATCCTCCATATCCACCAACCCGGTTAGTGTGCCGGACATTCGCCTTTCGTCTTCTTAACTTCGTGAACAACACCCGTAATGCGAGAAGGCAATGGGTAGTACTTCCCTGGCAGAGGCTATATACGCGTGGCCATGTGAGAGCATTTCGAAAGGGAGAGCGGACTCTCCTCACTCTCGGCCGTACCAGGGCATTTGATCTATTGGCTACTGTTATACGATTTGTCATTTTTAAGTTATCTCAAATCTATTAGCTACAGTCTCCTATACTCATAATCATTTTTGGTTTGATCTTGTATAACTACTATTTTTCATTTTGTGGTGTGATTCGGTCTTGTCTGCTTGTATATAAACCACATATGTCTAAAAGATATTATTCATATAATAGAAGCTGAATACTGTGTTCCGGACTGAACTGATTGGTCTAGACGAGAAACAAATATATTGAGGACCAATAAGCATTCACAGTTGACTCAAATCTGTTAGTGTTGGGTGACATATTATCGATTCCATTGCATGTGGCGTATGACCGCCTCACATTCGGGCGTGGTTGAACTGTAATAGTCAAGGTTTTCCACTAGAACTCTTGAAATCGGTAATCAGTGAGTATATGATTATCATAAGTGTAAAGAGTTTATGAAGATTGTAGAACTGATGTGATCTGAATGGATCACAAATTAATTATTTGTACTTCATAATATTAATATGAATCTATTAAACGATACTCTAAACTAACAGATCCGAATGAATTTCAACTTATGTCACCTATGGCGAAGGCGAGATATCCGTCTATCAATTAAGGGACGAATATAATAAGCAGCAGTTCGTTCAGTTCTAATTTATGGCTGCGAAACATGGCCATTAAGAGTAAAAGATGTTCGTAAACTAGTAGTATCTGACCGCAGATACCTTAGAAATATTGCTCGCATCTGCTGAGATCACCGAGTAAGCAACAATGAGGTTAGATGCAGGTTATTAGGGAATGATGGTAAATCAGTTAATGGCATTGTGAATCTTCATCGACTGAGATGGTTGGGCCACGTATTACGTATGCCTGAACACCGATTACCATGACGTGCAGTGCTAACCGGTGTAGGGGATGGTTGGAAGAAAGTTAGGGACGGCCAAACCAAAACGTGGCATCAGTGCTTGAAGTCACTAACTTCTAGTCTGAGCCATGTTGGTAGATGCAAACTAGTTGGTTGGGGTCCGCGTGACTATTGTAACCAATGGTTGGAGACTCTTGGTGACATGGCTCAGAACTGATCACAATGGCGTAGGTGTATACACTCTCTGTCTTCCCTTAAACTAAGAGATTAAAATCGCTTCATATCTTTCCTTTTATGAAGTAATTCTTTCTTCCCGTACCATATCCTTATATGCAATCATTTTTTTATATATTACCACCATTGACTTAACTACTTCTATGAATTCGGTGTTCATCTTGTTGTGCTAATGAGGTCATGACAACATGGACCGATACACATAGATGTGCCTGGTCCTATGTTGTAACTGACTGATTGAAATTTCAATCATACAAAAAACACTAATTTTATTTACTTGATTTTTTTCGGATCAATATATCATATTTTTTTGGGGTTATTTTTTGTTTTTGTTTTTTGATTACATAGATTACGTAACATGAACTTTATGAAATGAATATAAAAGATGTATGTGTGTAACATACATGTAAATAATCCTGCTATACCCATATACAAACACGTACATTCACAAAAAGTAAAACAATGGTAAACAGATAATTACAAAATTGAGAACATTACACAGTTATGAGAATATATGGAATGATTTATAAGAATAAGAATAAGAATAATAAGCAAAGATGGATAGTAACTAGCAGTGGAATCCAGGATGCGCGTTTCATCTTATTTGAGACTTGTCAGCTGGATGAACCGGAATCTCAGAGTTGATGTTCACTCCGAGACTTGAACTATTCGCTTCAAACGCCATTGCATTATCCATTCAGCTACTGAATTCTGATAGGAACTTTCTTGTGCGATAGGGTGAAGTTTAGATTCATTTTGTATCGTTTGATCGAATTTTCCCATTGATGTTTAGGATTGCAATTGATCAGTCTCTTATTGGCATATGTGCATACTGTGCGTATTCACAAGAATTACAAGCGGTACTGGGTTCGAGTCTCGAAGTGGATATAAACTCTGAGATGCAGGTACATCCAGATGATCAGTTCGAAATAGGATGAAACGTGCATACTGGATTCAACTGCTAGCCACTATTCATCTTTGATTATAATGCTTATGAATTAGGGCAATATTGAGACAATGCGCACTGTATGCAAATTTGCCAATAAGAAAGATTGATCAATTGCAGTCCTAAACATTAATGGGAAGATTTAAGTAAACAATACCAAGTGAATTTGATTTACAATAATGATGGTGTACTCAATAGTAGTTGGTACCTTAATGTGATGGTCATATGTTTGTAAATCTTGATGATTAAAACACTAGTTCCTTCACATCCAACCTTGTCAGGCAGATCAATTGAAGAGTGATAAGACTAGAAGTCATGGACTTAAGATATAACGGAGAAACGTTATAGTTGACTATACTGGAGTATGATGATAGTAAAATATTCCTTTCAAACAACCAGCATCTGCAGACGTGTTGTCTTCTCATGATGGAAGAGGGTCAGGAAGTTACTTACTTACTTACACCTGTTACTCCCAATGGAGCATAGGTTGCCGACCAGCATTCTCCGACCCACTCTGTCCTGGGACTTCTCTTCTAGTTCCATCCAATTCTTGTTCATTTTCCTCATGTCTATTTCCATTTCTCGGCGTAATGAGTTCTTTGGTCTTCCTCTCCTCCTTCGGCCTTGAGGATTCCATGTGAGGGCTTGTCTTGTGACGCAGTTGGGTGCTTTCCTCAATGTGTGTCCTATCCACTTCCAGCGCTTCTTTCTGATTTCTTCCTCCGCTGGGATCTGGTTTGTTCTCTCCCGCAGTACGTTGTTGTTCTCACGATGGAAGAGGGTCAGGGTCAGGAAGTATTGATATTAAAAAAATATCACATCTCATCTTGTCACATGAATTTTTGTAGTCGGCAGTAAGGCCTTAAAACTACTGAGCTAGTACATCTAATATTACACACAGAAACGTTTCTGTGTGATCGGCCTAAAGCAGACATCCTTTGGGATCTGTGTTATATCTCCCTAGATGTCAAGAACACTGCTAATTTAATTTCCCTTTTAGAGATATTACGGATAAGAAATATCCTTCCACAATGTGAGCGACGAGGCAGTAACTTTCATTTCCACACCTTAATTAGCACTTACGATCTCCTTGAGTAATAATGTGATAATTATAGCGGTAAATTCTTATTGTTCAACCACTATTATGTCACAAGTTTAAAACAAACATCCCTGTCGGGTTATTAATATGAGTGGATTTGAACATAACTCTGGTTAAACAAGTAGTTTGAACAGGAAAACAAAAATGAACGGGTCTACGTTAGACCACCGTTGAAAACATGGCAGCACTAGATGGCCATTTCATCCTAGTATACGACACCTTATCAGTGCATATCCACGACTTCATACAAGGAAATTGAACCGAGAACCTTCAGTTTCGCGTGTGAACGGGATCGTGGATGAGCACAACTGAGGAATCTCATACTGATGCGAAACGCCCCTTCAGCGCTTCCAGATTTTTTAATGGTAGTCCACCTTAGTTCGGTTCATGGTCTCAATGAAACTCAACAATCTCTACAACTTCTTACTGACAAAAAGACATCATTTATCCTTCAAATGTGAGTGTGATGATCATACCAATCTGTATCATTCGCTTTCCTGACGCGTACACATACTAGTGCAAATGGTTCTCAGAATTAAAAATCAATAAACCATGACATAAACAACTCAGTAACACGCACGTAAATAAACAATACACACAAGCAGACAGAGAGATAAACACATGCACAAACAAGAAAACAACGATCGATTAAAATGGTAGCGTAACCTTAGGTGCAATAAAGTTGGTAAACACTTCAAGGAATTTGCAAATAGTAGTCAGTAGGAGTTCTTAAGAGATAAATAGTTTTATTTTGGATTGACGAAGTGAAATGAGTTGTAGAATATGCACATAGTTCTCTTTTAATTAACTTAAAATAAAGAACAAGGACAGTAATCCAATCAGAGTTATGGTGCTTTTGCTGTCAACTATTAATATTGCTAGGTTCTTGTAAACTTTCTCTGATGTGGTTCATACCTGGACAGATCGCATATTGGTTTGGGGACACAAGGTAAGTGAATGATTCAAGAGAGGGAAGTCTATTTTAGGTAATTGAATTGCTCGTTCCATCAAGATTACACAAGTCTCTCCCGACGTCACTCTAGACACATTTTATCACCACATAGGCACATCAGTTAGGCATTAAGAATGTGTACAGTGATTAAATCTGACCAGAATTAGTGGGATCTGAAAGCTACTGCTTTTTATTACTTCACGTTACGGAGGAAATTCCAGTAATTCAGTCAATCATCATCAATGTAGAACCTAGAAAAGATGCATGTTGGCCTAAGTCGGCATATTACATTAGTACGAGATGAGTACAACAGAATGAACAATAAAACAGATAGAAATAGTGTAGAAAAAATGGTAATAATAAAGACTGAACACTAAGAATATGGCTCGAAAATACATAGTTGGAAGATAAGTATGAATGAATACTGGAATTCAAGATTTAGAGGAAGATAGTGATTATCCTCGTGCCTTCCTTCGTGATTGATGACAACTGAAGTGTTTACCTACTGATTGCAGCTATCTAACGGATCCTAACGAGCTAATATGGATCTACTAATACGTATCAGGATATTAATCAATGACTTCATGGGCTGATAATATATCTTGGTTTGGCAACCCCTAGCTATTCTCCAGCCTATTCCTGCATCAGTAAACATCCTCGACCGAGGTCAACAGCGTTTGGGTACATGTGACGCACGTCTTGACCACGTCAGTTGGAGGAGATTCACAACATCATCAACTGATTTGCCATCATTGTCTAATACCTTATCCCTAACACCAACATTATTCAGTCAGTTGTTTGATGAAAATTGAGCAATGCTTCGAAGACACCTACGATCAAAATCTTGGAGCCTAAGCACGTCTCTTACATTCATAAACTATGTTTCGTAGCCATAAAGTAATACACAGCGAACTTCTGCACAGACTATAAGCATTTTAGCAAGCCAATGGTCATCAAGATCTGAAGAAGAAAACATTTTAGAATCTAACATCTTTGCATTCACATACTGATGTCATTATTGATTTGTTATTGATCAATAGGCTTTTCTTCAATATTCTTAAAACTCTTTGACTGTAAATCTATTCACTAATCTATTGATAGACAGGATAACATATTGAATTTTATGCTAAAATCCAACACAGTTATTATCGTGTATATGAATACTTTGTCAGTATTTTATTTCACTGATTGAAATCATGAGTCAATTGAAGCTAGACCACCATCAGCAGTGCACACCCACGACCCCGCGCCCCGCGGGATTCGAACCCAGGACCTACTGGTCTCGCGCGTGAGCACTCAACCGCCAGACCACTAACCCGGCATCCAGCGGTGTTAATGTCTAACTTCAACCAATCCACGAAGTTGAGCCACCGTACACCATTGTCTTCAGTGAGTTCCTATCTCACAACAGACCTGGTTGAACTCCACTGATAACGACTTCTGACTAGAACTCCATGAGTGTCTCCTGAAGTCAGTCACTAGTGAGCAGGTGATTATTATTATTATTATTATTATTATTATTATTATTGTTATTGTTATTGTTATTATTATTATTATTATTATTATTATTATTATTATTATTATTATTATTATTATTATTATTATTATTTGCTTAAACACATAAACATTAGTACAAGGAGGCACCAGAAACATATATGCCAAAAAAGTCACTTGGTTTGTGTGTGAGCTGTGATCCTGTCTGGGTGTCCAGACTGGAGCAGATGGCTTTCTTAAGGGGCCACGCCCAGAGCCTTCGACCTGATCCACAAGGCAGTGCAACAAAGTCAGGAGGAATCATTTAGACTATTATAAACGAGTAAATAAAGTCAAATGAAAAATGAGATCTTATAAAACATTTAGAATGGGGACAAATAATGCGATAAACTAAACTACTGTGATAAATTTTAGATCTTAAACTTGGAAATCTGTATATACTGAAAGAGATTAGTTCAACAATGAGTTGATATTATATACTGTTCAATGTACATTAGATTTCCGTAACATAATTCTATCAACCAGCAGTATTGTGTACGTCTGGATTAACCTGCAAATACCTTGATATGGTCGAGGGTGGAGAGAGTTAGCTCTCCATCTCCAAATTTCCTCACATGGTTACGCGTATACAACCACTCCCAGGGAAGTCCTACTTATTGCCGTTTGATGAAAAGGGTGTTGTTTACGAAATGGAGAGGACGAAAAGCAAATGTTCAGAGCATTATTCCGGTTGGTAGATATGTAGAAACTATCTAGGGGAGTTGGAATACCGTGATTCCAAACCAATACTACACATCGACTACAAGATCCTGAGTGAACAAATAGCGTACTAACATTGTTCGTCACCGACTACTATAGGAATGCATCTTCTAACAATTCTCCACTGTCGTATAGATTGAACCTTTGGGTCAAAGGCTCGAGGAGTGGTCCCCTAAGAAAATCACCTGCTTCAGCTTAGGCAGCTCTCACAAAAATTGAATGATTTGTGTGGCGCATATTATATTTGATGTCTCCTTATACCAATGTTTATATGTTTAAATAAACAAGCATCTGGATAAGGAGCGACAAGATAAATGAAACATATTCATGAATCCTTTAATCTGAATCAAAGTTTATAACAATGTTTGATTGATCTAACATTTCTCTATGAGTCAGTCAGTCACAACGTAGGACTAGGTACATATGTGCATCGGTCCATGTTGTCATGACCTCATTAGCACAACAAGATGAACACCGAATTCATAGAAGTAGTTAAGTCAATGGTGGTAATATATAAAAAAATGATTGCATATAAGGATATGGTACGGGAAGAAAGAATTACTTCATAAAAGGAAAGATATGAAGCGATTTTAATCTCTTAGTTTAAGGGAAGACAGAGAGTGTATACACCTACGCCATTGTGATCAGTTCTGAGCCATGTCACCAAGAGTCTCCAACCATTGGTTACAATAGTCACGCGGACCCCAACCAACTAGTTTGCATCTACCAACATGGCTCAGACTAGAAGTTAGTGACTTCAAGCACTGATGCCACGTTTTGGTTTGGCCGTCCCTAACTTTCTTCCAACCATCCCCTACACCGGTTAGCATTGCACGTCATGAAACCCTACACAGAACCTCAGTATGGAAATTCCACTATGAACGGATGATCTTACAAAAGAAAACCAACATTGAAATTATTTAATGTACAGATATTTATAAAATAAAAATAGGATCACTCAGATCATATACATAGTTGACTTACTTTATCCTTAGAATTTAAACATACCGCAGCAGTTGGTGGAATACGTAAAACAATATGACCAGCTTTATTTACTGGTAACCATACACGTGCAGGTAAATGAAGATTTAAATTTGCTAATTCTGCCTGTAAATGAGCAGCTGTAATTTGTTTGAAACAAAATGCATAGGAAACAAAAGAAGAGAAGAAAAACGATGAGATTATGTTACTATGTTATTTGATTAAATTATATATAAATCAGTTTATTATTCTATTATCAATCGATCATAATCAATGTAGAACTTCCAGCTTCGGCATGGACATCCGGGCAGTATCCCAGCCCTCACAAATCGAATGATTTATGTGGTGCATATCTACTTGGTGCCTCCTTGTACCAATGTTTATGTGTTTAAATAAATAAATAGAACATGGCAGATGCATAAATCACTTCAAGTTGTCATATCAAACATTAGCATAATAAGGTGAAATTGTCAGGGCTATTCATAATTCAAAACCTTCCTTGCTTTTCATTGGTCATCGAATTGATTCTAAATTTATCCTATTATTTTCTATCAATTCCCAAAATTCAGTTCAATTTCCGAATATTAAACCTCGCAAGCACATTTAAGATTTTGGGATTTCTGGTTGACATACGATAAATTCTATAAACGAACGATTGAGGATCCTTCTAATAAATCGTATCTAATAGGCACTCGAACAGACCGGATACCTGTATCACACAACAACAATTTAACGTTAATAATCTACACGATGGCAGAGAAGAGAGGACTTTCAATCTTACTCTATATTTCGTACAGATGTCAAACGTGAAACAGAACAACCCCGTTTTTATAGTACCATGCAATGCCCCTGGGCACCCGTAACAAGGTTACAAAAACAAAGACTATAACAACTAATCAGTTGATAGCGAATGTTATTGATGACATATGAATTAGGAAAATGTTATCGAGGTTATCTCCTCAAGAAAGAACTAACATGTAATGACAAAAACGCTTGATCTCTTCTTAACACTATTGGTATTTTTAATATGAGGTTGTGGAGATTGTTGAATTTCATTGAAATCATGAACCGATCAAAGTTAGACCACTGCTGAAAACCTGGGAGCACTGGGACTTCTCATCAGTGTGCTTTCCAAGTCTACTGCCTCGATATAGTCATGTCGATACATGTTTTCTAGAAAATGACACTCATCAAATTTCAGTTCTGAACGTTAACAACAGGATAATTCAAACCCTGTTTGATGATAACGTAAATACAATACCCATTCAACAGGCTAGTAGTAGGTGATTGTAAAATTCGTTGGCAATTGAAATAAAATATACTAGGTCAGAACATCAATATACTTGGATTCTGGCATACGCAACTGAAAAGTCTCAAACAAGATGAAACGTATGTTTTTAATTATGCTTCTATCTATAATCCATTTATTCTATTTTTATTTAATACATTGAGTCAATCAGAAATCGACTAAATGGTAAGGTACACACAACTGACCAACACTATTATTATTGTAGGTAACATTACCAAGGTTTAACTTCATAATTTCAAATAAATTGAGCATTGGGTAGATTGTTATAAAGAAAATAATTACAAGTTCTGACGTTTTGTAACTCAGTTTAAGCCACTTCTCCAGAGAATATATAACCGAATTAAACTAAAACTTGAGTTTTTATGCCGAGGGTGGAGACAGTCAGCTCTTCCTCTCGAAATGCTCTCATATGGACACGTGTATTGATCGATCTCTTAGTATATGTGCATTCTGTGCAGATTGTTTCAATATTATCTTAAGTGGATAACATGAGAGCGCTTAAAGCGAACGGTACTAGGTTCGAATCTCGGAATAAATATCAACCCTAGGATGTAGGTGAATCCAGCTGACGAGTCCAAATACAACGAAATGCGCATCCTGGATTCCACTGCTAGCCACCATTCATCTTTGCTTATAAAGCTTATAATGCCCCCCTGAATGCCCTGGTACGGCCGAGAGTGGGGTGAGTCCGCTCTCCCTCTCGAAATACTCTCACACGGCCACGCGTATACAGCCTCAGCCAGGGAAGTCCTACTCACTGCCTTCTCGTGGCGGGGGTGTTGTCTACGAAAATGAGAGGACGAAAAGCGAATGTCCGGCGCTTTAACCGGATTCCAAATCAATGGTGCACATGAGCTCCAGTATCCTGCGGGAACGAATGGCGTATGAACCAATCGTTGGTCACCGGCTACCATGGGACTGCATCTCCTTACGATGCTCCACTGCCTTGTGGGTTAGACCTTTAGGTCAAAGGCTCGGGGAGTGGCCCCCTAAGATAACCACCTGCTTCGGTTTGGGCACCCGGGCAGTATCACAGCCCACACACAAATGATGAACTGTTTATGTCTATGGAAACTACTTTTCTCGCTTTGAAAAACAATCAATTGATTCAAATTATGATCACTTCAATTATTGTCATTATTAATACTAATATTATTATTACTACTATTATTGTCATTATTGTTATTATTATCATTATTATTATTATTTTCCACATTATTCACTCTCTTTTATACTTATACAGCGGCTCGTCTTTGGTGGAATTCCGACTGTATCTAAACGTTCTCGAGTCACTGTCCGGTTGAAAATTGTATGTTACCACCGAATACGAGAACTGAAGCAGTTTTTCTGAAACCACGTGCACCATTCAAACTGGCTGCCTTCAACGTTCGCACACTTATGCAGGTCGGACAACAGATAGGGCTGGCTATGTCTTTGGAAAGTCTTAATATCGACGTGTGTTGTCTATCCGAGACCCGTATTCAAGACTCTGGCGAAGTACTACAAATTCGATCTCCATCTGTCGCTTCGAAAAGCTTGTTTTACGTGCGCTTATCCGGGGACCCTGTGGCATCTTCGTCTGGTCTTGCTGGCGTTGGTGTCGCACTAAGCGCTAGAGCTGAGGCAGCACTAGTCGGTTGGATCCCCATTAACAGTCGGTTATGTGCTGTTAGATTAGAAAGTTCCATCAAAGTGAGAAGAAATCGGCGTGAGAAACGATGTCTTTTCGTCATCTCCGCCTATGCCCCGACAGATTGCAGCCCGGATGCAATCAAGGATGAGTTTTACCACCAGTTATCAGTTCTTCTCCAGAAAGTGCGTTCGACAGATATTGTAGTACTAGCCGGAGACTTGAATGCTCAGGTCGGGCGTCTAGGCACAGAAGAGAGTCGTTTAGGTGGCCGATGGGGACTCGTTTGTCGCAGGTCAGATAACGGGGACCGTCTACTGCAACTTTGCACAGACCACAACCTGTTTCTGGCTAGCACTAACTTTCGGCACAGTCATCGCCGATGTGCCACCTGGCGTCCTCCCTCTGCATCTCAAGCCTGGACTCAGATAGATCACATCGCGATCAGCTACCGCTGGCGTGGTTGTGTACAAGACTGCCGCTCCTTTTGGAGTACCTATCTGGACTCTGACCATGCCTTGGTCTGCGCCAATCTTGCCTTACTTTTCAGTGGACAACGAAGTGACCACCACCAAAAGATTGATGTTAGCAAGCTGGTTGCAACTTCTGTTGCAAGTAAGTATCGAACTGAGCTAGCCTCTAGGCTAGCTACCACTCCACCGAGAAGTATAGATGAGCATTGGTTGCAATTGCATGACGCCATGAAAATGGTGGGAACAGTCAGTTGTGGGTTTGCGAAACGTCCCGCTTTTAAGCACTGGGTTTCTTCTGGTTCCTTACAACTCATTGAAGCCCGTCGGTCTACTCCGGGTGACCGTGAGTTTGACCATAAACGAAGGATGTTACGTAAGGAAATCGGGCAAAGCTTGCGTAAGGACCGAGAAGCCTGTTGGTCGATGCGTGCTAATGAGCTGGAAGCAGCAGCTGCATCTGGTAACTACCGGAAGCTCTTCCAGCTCATCCGAGCCACTGGCAGCAAGAAGTCTGGTGTGAGTGAAACAATCTGCGAGGATGACGGAACGCCAATCACTAACATCCATCGACGTCTTGGACGATGGGCAGAATTTTTCGAAGGGCAGTTCAACTGGCCTGCTGCTCCGGCAACATCGGTCAGATTGTCCTGCCCTCCATGGCCGGTGACGACTGATCCACCAAATGAGGAGGAAGTCCGCAAGGAACTCCAACTCTTGAAGCGTTACAAATCACCTGGCCCAGATGACTTACTTCCAGCTCTTTTTAAAGATGGTGGTGACTTTTTGACTATGGAATTGACGACGTTGTTTACAAAGGTTTGGGAACTAGAGAGTGTACCAACGTCATGGAATGAGTCGATAGTTGTCCCTATCTTTAAAAAGGGTTCACGTCGTTCTTGTAACAACTATCGGGGGATAAGTCTACTTCCGATTGCGTCCAAGCTATTGGCTTCCGTCATTCTTCGTAGGTTGTTCAAAACCCGAGAAAGATTGACTCGCGAGGAGCAGGCTGGGTTTCGTTCTGGTCGAGGATGTATTGATCATATCTTCACCCTCCGCCAAATGTTAGAACACCGCCATACTTATCAAAGGCCAACAATCGTAGTGTTTCTTGACATCAGGGCTGCCTTCGATTCGTTGGATAGGACTGTTCTCTGGGATTGTCTATTGAAGAAGGGTGTGCCTGAGAAGTTTATTAACATCCTAAAAGCCCTGTATAAAAACACCTCAGGCAGAGTGAGGGCATACAACCACCTCTCTCCATTGTTCCATTCGAACAGTGGGGTTAGGCAGGGTTGCCCAATCTCACCATTCCTCTTCAACTTTGCCATCGATGACATTCTGGAAACAGCTCTGATGAATGTAAGTAATGGTGGTGTGGATCTGTTGCCTGGAGAAAGACTTCTCGACCTTGAGTATGCGGACGATATTGTCTTACTGTGCGATAATGCGCAAGGCATGCAATCCGCACTTAATCAGTTGGCAATCAGTGTCCGTAGGTATGGTATGTGCTTTGCACCTTCGAAGTGCAAAGTACTTCTACAAGACTGGCAGGATTCCAATCCTGTACTCACCCTGGACGGTGAGCAGATAGACGTAGTCGAGAAGTTTGTGTATCTGGGTAGCTGCATAAGTGCTGGTGGGGGTGTGAGTGATGAGATCAATGCACGAATAGTGAAAGCCAGAGCGGCTTATGCCAATCTGGGCCACCTTTGGCGCCTTCGTGATGTTAGTCTGGCTGTAAAAGGCCGGATCTACAACGCGTCGGTGAGAGCAGTTTTGCTCTATGCTTGTGAACCCAGGCCTCTCCGAGTTGAGGACGTTAGACGACTCTCTGTGTTCGATCATCGCTGTCTCCGAAGGATTGCTGACATTCAGTGGCAACACCATGTCAGTAATGCAGAGGTTCGGCATCGTGTGTTCGGGCACAGAGATGATAATTCAATTGGTGTCACCATCTTGAAACACCGACTTCGGTGGCTTGGGCATGTTCTCCGAATGTCGTCCCAGAGAATTCCACGTCGTGCATTATTTGCCGACTCTGGGACTGGTTGGAAGAAGCGGGGAGGTGGTCAGTGCATGACATGGTGTCGTGGCATGAAAGAAAGCTGCAAAGGACTGGCTTGTGTTGGTCCTTCACGACTCCCTGGCTGGGGTCCGAGAGATGGTGCTACACAGTGGCTAGAGACGTTATCAGATATGGCTCAGAATAGAAGCCAGTGGCGATCCTGCTGTAACCTTCTTTTACTTTCTTCATAAAAAGTGGTTGCGTCTCTTTTACCTGAAAGATTTCTTCTGATTGTACCTTTTCGTTCCGTCGTTACTACCACACTACCTTACACCAATCTCTTCGTTATTGTCCTCTCTTTTTTTTGTTGCGCTCCTTAGCTTTTTTTTCTTTCTTTGTATTCCTCTCGAATTTTCATTGTTTTGTGTGGCGCATATATATTGGCGCTCTCTTGTACCAATATTTATGTGTTCAAATAAATAATAAAATAATGCTTGTGAATTAAGGCAATATTGAGGTTGTATGTGCATAACAGCAATAAACATTTACCGCTACCCGTTCATTGATATGAGACGACAAATTACCCACCTAAGTGCTTTTCAGTTTGCCTTTACTCACTAACTTGGGTGTTAAAAACATCTAGTACGATTACTATATCTGAGCGCCTGGCTTTCTAGAGGTCAGAAAGCTTCCTGTAAAACTCATTTATTCATCCATACGAGCTTCAGTGAGTGGTAGTATGGACGGAAATGACAAAAGGGTAACGATAAGCGTCAACATGTCAATGGTTTACTCCATGGAAGTTATGCCTTCGTTTAGATGACCCTCAAGTTTACACCCATACGAGCCATTATGGCACGTCAGGTATCCCATGCTTCGTTGTTCCACCATACGAGTGTAATCTTCTGAAATCTCCAACAGAATAAGTGAGACACACATGTTACCAAGCGTCAAATGTTACACTGCACAACCACACAACAATATAAGGTGGACTGTTTATATAGTATAATTGCAGACAGACATTTCATCTGTACCATAAGTTGTCTAAGAGAAAAGGAACAGAAGGAATACCTCCAAAAATATTTTAATTTTGTCTACAACCAGCCTACTGTGACAGTATGATACCCTAAAAATAAATGGGTTTTTCAACATGATCGACTGCTCCACTCACTACAGTCAAGCTAAGCATTGAAGTAGGTGTCCTAAAGTGACACCTTTCATCTAGAGAAAAATAAATGTATCTCAGGACTATTTTGCATTGAAATTCCATTGGTCAACACCTTTAGTGAACACATACATATTCAGTTAGAAAGAGAATCCTTGAAGAGGAAAATTAATTCGTGAAAAAATTCAAACGATGAAGTAATCATCCGGTTTTCTGTTACCTGTTGTTTCTCACATACAAACCACAGGTTTAAATCTGAAATCGATTAGTGAATGAAACAACTCAATGTATAATCAAGTTTGAAGAAACACTTACTTCTTTGCTCTTTGGGACTAATTGGTACTAATCGACGAGCTATTCTCAAAAGACCATCAACAAAATCCCATTCAGGAATTATTCTAGGGACTAGATAATTACGTAATGTTAAAGTTCGATACATAACTGATGAAGTAGTGTGATAATGTGGACAATGTGGTAAATGAAATGAATTCTCTGGTGATTGCAATTTAACACCATGATTATCATTATCATCATCGTCATCACCATGGTCAACAACACCAACACCATCGCAACTACTATGTATACAACGATTAGGAGCTGTCATATAAAGACCACTATCAAATGGACTTGACGATTCTGTTGTGGAACTACAAGATTCCATAGTGTGAGTTGGATTGTTCCTTGCTTCATTTATTGATTTTGTTTTAGTGAGTGTTGTCGTTGTAAGTACTGGTACTCCTTCTAAGGATCCAAGCATTAAATCAGAAGTTATATTATTTGTAGAGTATGATGATAAGTTGCGATCAACATCATTCCTATCATTATTCTCACCACGAACAGTGGCAGTTTGATTTAAAGACGATGATGATTTAATTTGTGCAGAATTATCATCATTCATGATACATAATGATGAATTTAATCGTTGTAAATTAACTGATGAACGAGAATGTTTCGAAAGACATGATTGTGGCAGAATTTCTTTTGTAATAATCTATAAGCATTAATAGAACATGAATGAAAAAAAGACAAAATGAGTTTGGAATGAATTAATTTGGAACGAAAAATAGAAACAAAACCTCTGTGAAGTTCAAAAAGAAGAAAAACCATCTATTGAGTAGAATTTGGACGTAAGCAGAGAGGTATTGTGCAGTCCTACGGCTATAAAATATTTAAGGATGTGAAGTGTCTTCGATTCACCTTCCTGCAGTTTATCCCCCTGCCTATCGTTCGTTACCACCTCATCGGTCAGTCAATCATAATTGTTCTCAATTCCTAAAGATGGCGAGTCTAATTTCGGATTGATAAAAACAGCAAACTCTTGATTTGAGTATCAATTTGCAACTTTTGTTATCACAGTCATATAATCTCAGATGTTTACTATAAATAGCGAAGCTGATACTATTTTTCGAAAGCTGTTTGTTGGTGTCGAATTTCCAACAGAAGACAAAGAAATCGATAAAGTATGAAGGTTTTAAACTTAGGCCCATCCTATATAGCGTTGGTAAATCATAAGCCGAAACACACACAAAGAGATCATCTCCATTCACGTTATATTAAAACAACGTAGTAGGAAATGAAAAGTATCATTTTACGCGGCACAGATAACAGACATAGTTTATATTGATCTTCAAATTGTAATTCAAGTATCTTGATCACATGAGACAACATTAAATTAAAGTTTTGTGTCGAATAGATTTTTCTGATTGTCTAGGAGATAAGTTTGTAAAAAAAATCACCTATAATGTACAATATACGTAACATACAGAATGATACAGAGGGTGCATTAGAAACTACCAGATGAAGAGTGTATGCGATCGGTCGAAGGATGATGAGACATAAACCATTGAAACATTCAACTACCTAAGGGATATAGATATATCTAGATTGTACATATATAAACAAGTATACAGTTATTTTTTGATACGTGTAGCCAATAAACTGTTCTCGCACCAAATCTCAAATCGAGTATCAGATGTCTCTCAGACACCGTGGATCATGATACGTTAATGTGGATAAAGATTGTAACTATTTGTGATATGATTATTCTAATCACTGTTATTTAATGGGATTTGATAGAAGATTTAGTAATGAGATTACCGTTTGTGAAGCTGTACAATACCGTGTAATTGTCTGTTTTAAGCTTTAAAAACAGTTGGAGTGAATAATAACTGAGACTAGGTGTAGTAATAACCTACTCTAGTAGAGAACAAACCAACTTCCAGCTGAAGAGGGGATTACGAAAAGACATTTGAGGTGGATAGAACACATATTGCGAAAACCATGAAACTACACCAAAAAGCAAGCCCTAATTAAGAATCCTCAATGCAAAAAGAGAAAAGGATGACCAGAGAACACATTCCACCGGGAATCGGAAGCAAGAATCAAAAGCAAAAACAGCACTTGGGAAAAAATTAAGAACACATGACAGAGCAGGTTGAAGATTCTTGGTTGTTGACTTATGCTCCACGTGTAACAGGTGTAAGTAAGCGTGTATTACCCAACCGAACACAGTGGTTCAAATTCGTGCATTATTTACACTTTTAATTGCGAACTCATTGAAATAAGAAATGTAAATCATTGAATACCTGAAAACTAAGCAACTATTGTGAGATCTAGAACTCCTAGATTCGATCATACAATCATGATGAATCTCATACTAGGATGAAACAGATGTCTAAGATCGCTTCGTAAGCTGTAACCTATGAAACATAATACAACCTGGACAAACTATTTCTTACATTAGTTATATAGCACATTTTGGATGGATGAAAAGCAGTGTAATTAGAAACGTTCATTTTGTCTAGTATAGAAATGATTAATCAGCTAAATTATATGCACCTTACCACCCTAATTGTTCATACTAAAATTTGGATATATACAATAATCGGCTAACTTGTTCAAAAGGTACATTTTGTTTTGTTTACATATGTTATATTATAGTTATTGATCCGTGATGAGTGTATTGGTATTGTGAAGTGTGCCAACTTTAATTGATCAAATTGTCTACTGAACTTATAACATTATCTGGTTGTCTATCTATCTATGTGTATGTGTGTGCAAGTTTGGTAAAAATTAGTTGTACAAAAGTGTTTTTGACCCTTTTTAAAACAACAATATCATTGAAAAGAAAAACAAATAGATTAAATTAAAATTGAAGTAATCACTAACATTGGAATTCAGACCGCGTGTTTCATCTTATTTCAGACACATTATTATTAGGATGAAACTGCATTCCAGTGTTAATGTTCTAATGCAGAGAGACACATATATCGTTCTCTTTTAAACGCTTAATGTGTTATTCACTGAGCTAATGAATCCATATAGCCACTAAGTTATATAACTTTACCTAAAATTGATGAAGATATAGCACCAACAAAGAAGCCCATTATTCAAAGCGCACGTATGCCAAAAGAGACGAATCAATCACATTTCATATTGTATCAACGGAAGGATACAAACACTTACAAACTAAATAAATCAAATTTTAAACAATTGTGTTGTTATTATAAATTTCAAATTATGAAGGATTGATTTGAAGAAGTTAAAAAAAAACCATGACTTCAATCGAATTACATACATACAGGTGCATCCACTCTTTGTGTTCTTCCAAATTCTAATCTTCTGAATTCTTCATGTCCCTTTTTTTCCTTTTTCCAAATTTATTTCACTGGATTATACTCTTTAAATAACGTCTCCAAACCCTAATCTTCCCGATTACTGCTTATAATCTAGCTACCTCTACCACTACGGGATTTGAATCGACAACTGCATCTCTGTGCTAAGGTGGTGTGGCAACTCGAACTGATGTACGTACGTACGAAGTTCTACGTTGTTACTGACTGACTAACTGACATGGGATCGAGGATCGTAGGGGAATGAATAATGTACGAACCTATTCTGCTCACTCGTTATGATGGAATAGTATCTCCTAATGTTGTTCAACTGCCTGGTAGATTAGACCTTGAAATTAAAAGCTTAGCAATTAATACCTTGAAAAAACCACCTGCTTCGGTTTTAATGCACAGTGAGCAATGTAAACTACATACATAATTATTACTTGCATAGACAGATTTTACGTGAATGAATAAATAAATCTTAAATTAACAGTTAAATAGTATCACGATCTCAACATGAAAACGATTACAGACTGGTTGAGGAATCTATAATAATGGCAAAACAGTTATTTGATGTCCTCTAATCATATATCTATTTGAACGCATAAATATTGGTACAAAGAGGCACCGAATACACATGCGTCACACAAGTCATTTGATTTGTGCGTGGGCTGTGATACTGCCCAAATGTCCAGACCGAAACAGGTGGTCTACTTAGGGGGCAATACCCGGAGCCTTTGAGCTGAAAGTTGATCCACAAGGTAGTGGAGCAGCGTCAGCAGATGCAGTCTCATGGTAGCCGGTGATCCGTGATTGGTTCATATGCCGTTTGTCCCTTCAGGATACTGAAGCCAATGTGCACCATTGGTTTGGAATCAGGGTATTCCAACTCCCCTAAGTGGATCCTCCATATTCACTAACCTGGTTAAAGCACCGGACATTTGCTTTTCGTAAACGCCCTGTTCATGAGAAGGCAGTGAGTAGGACTTCCCTGGCAGTAATTGTATACGAATGGCTATACGAGAGCATCTAGAGAGAGAGAAAGCAGACTCTCCTCACCCTCGGTCATACCAGGGCATTTGGGGGCTCTAGTCATACAATTAATGACAACGGATAATTTAAACAACCTTTGAAGTTATTTCGTTTTGTCGATTTGGTTTCGTTAACGACACCTTTAATCTAAATGTTAATAAAAATGATTGTGGCAAATGAAGGAGCCTCTATATAAAAACACGGTTCTAATTCATATTGATAGTAGAGGTTGGGTAACTTGAAATTATCAAGCGTATTAGAACATCAATCGCGATTATCGTGAACCATCTGGCTTTTTTTGTCTGCATTTTTACGGTATACTTCATTGATATATACTTTTTATGAATTTTACTATTATGATTATGCTACTAACCTTCCCCCACATATCTAGAACTGACGTTAAAACTTATTATAGTTTTGTGGAAATTGTTTACATCACTGAAGATACTGACTTCGATCCCTGGTGAAGTTGTGGAAGCGCAATGTAGGAGAGTCCTATACGAGGACAAAACAACTGTTTAGTGCTTTCTGGTTCAAATGGTGGTCTAAGATTAGTCTGTGAGGTAAAACATGAAAAACTTGATATCTTTGGTTTATTACATTTAGATTTTTCGAAAAACTGGGCTATTGTTGGCGTTGCCATTCCAGCTTAGTTTTGTTGGGTATGTGTGTTTCTATTAAGATAGACATTCTGAATATTCACCAGGAATGTAAGTATATCCAACTTATGAGTTCCGAATAGAGCTTGAGTTCCATTCTTTGGATACCCATTTTTTATTAGTAGTACAGGAAGTCTAAAAAAACAACTGTCAAAAAAACCCAGTCCTCATCCGTCTTGCATACAAAGGTGAGGAGATATCAGGCAGGATCGATAGAAGGATTAGCGAAGCGCTAAAGAGGAGAGTTTCTCCTGTTTAATTGTTTTTGATGTTTAACATCAGATTTTCCTTAGAAAAATCAAGAGTGGATCTGAGGTCACCGGCAAATTTATTTACAAATTTACATATAGTTGTAAAAATATGTACATTCGAATGAATGGCAGAAGTGCATCAACAGGGTTTTCGTAACATATTCACCGTCATTTATGTCTGAAAGGAAGTATTTGCAAGTGTGATCACTGGATATTTAATGAATAATGAACATAGCATAGGTGACTCAGAAGTGTTTAAGATAATTAACAGGCAGAGAACACATTTGCTTCGCTTTGCAGAGGTCATTGGCATTAAACGCTTTCGTCCTGACATTAGTATGCAGAGAAAAAGTGGGTAAATCTCCCATTACCATAGTAAAATAGTTCTATTATTTTAACGTTTTTCAGTCACATTATCTCTTTACTAAGGTTTACAACTTCAAGTAGAAATATCCCACTGATATTCCCTCGCGACGTTAACTTCCACTTCATGCCAACTAGGATCCTTGATTATTAGTCACTTGATACTAGTGTATTGTTATTTATTGTCTCTTCATTATCATCTATAATTTCACCCCCTTTCTTTACAAGACCTAATACTAATAAATCTTAACTATTATGTTAAAAAGATTGCTTCGTCTTCTTGTTTCGCGTATCATTTAGAATTAAACTTCCTGGATTTAGGTTTCGTGTTATCAGGCACTCATCAGTAACCTTGACAGAACTAATGCTTCCCAGAGGATTCGACTACGAATTACTCAGTTTCACAGTCCGAAACATTACCATCAAGTTATTCACGTTGTGCATGATTTCCTTTGTGGGATTGATACGTTTGCAAAATTGATCTATTACTGAGCAGTGGTCAAAAGTTTCCTGTCAATTACTTTCAGCTGTCCTCTAATATATCAACGTGGCGCACAAGATGTCGAGTTACTTAAACAAGTGACCACATCGCAACTTCATTGGTAGGATATAATCAGCACTCAAGAACCAGAAAAAAATGACCTTAATCACTACTACATAGTGATTAATCAATTCGAAAAAGAAACAAATATAAAGAAATATCATGAACGATTGACAAATATTACTTTTAAAAGATTTCGTTAACCATACCATATGGTTCTCTTAAAACTACATTGCATTTTGTGAATGTTTAACGTAGGAAGAAAATGGAGAACCGCTTCATTCTAGTCTATGACACTTAACCATGGCTCATATCTGATTTAATTAAGAACAGATCTAGGATCTGAGTATGTTGTCGCACACGCAACAACAAATGCAGGAGAAGACGACCAGTGTAGCAGTTGCATCAGTAGGTCTCAACATACACAAAGGGAAAAGCAAGATTCTCCAATACAACACAACATGCACCAACCGAATCACACTTGAAGAAGATTTGGAAGATGTACAAACATTTATATATCTGGGCAGCATTATTGATTAACACGTTGGATCTGATGCAGATGTGAATGTGAGGATCGGCAAAGTAAGAACAGCATATTTACGACTGAAGAAGATCTGGAACTCAAAACAACTGTCTGTAAACCAACACCAAGGTTAGAATTTTCAATATAAATGTCAACACACTTCTACTGTGTGGAGTGGAAACTTGGAGAACTACGAAATCCATCATCCAGAAGATATAAGTGTTCAACAACAGTTGTCTCTATAAAATACTTCGGATCGGTTGGCCAGACACTATCAGTAACAACCTAATTTTGGAGAGAACAAATCAGACCCCAGCGGAGGAAGAAATCAGCAAGAGGCGCTGGAAGTGTATACGACACACATTGAGGAAAGCACGCAACCGCGTCACAAGACAAGCCCTCACTTGGAATCCTCGACGCCAAAGGAGAAAAGGAAGACCAAAGAACACATTACGCAGAGAAATAGGGAAATACATGAGAAGAATGAACAAAAACCGGATAGAACTTGAAAGGAAAGCGCAGGGCAGAGTGGGTTGGTTGGAGAATGCTGGTGTGCGGCCTATGCTCCATTGGGTAATAAGTAAGTAAGTAAATATACTGTGCTGAAGAATTCAAAATATAAATCAAATCTCTATACAACAATTATTTAATCAAAAATTACATTTGTCAATACTTTTCTACATACCTTATTCATACTCATACTTGATTTAATTGGATTTTGATTAAGATTATTCAAATGTAATTGATGTAATGAATGTCGATTTTCATTTAATAAAGAATTTGTTTGATTTGATAAATGATTTATGATAGGACATATTGAATTCAATGATATTTGATTTTTGATATGATTAGATTGAGTTGTTATTGGATTGTTTACAACATCGTCAATAGTTGATAAACAAACAGCTGAATCTTGTGATGATGACCAACGATTTGGATTAGAAGTTATTGTTGTTATCGTTTGATTAGTTTCAGTATTATTCATTAGATCTAACTGATCCATAACAACACGATGTCTAGATTTATCTACATAATAATGATAATTTCTTAAACCTATACGCGTGTGCGTGTGTGTGTGGGGGGGGTATTGAAAAGAAAAGATAAAACATGGAATGCAATTTCAATTTAACATTGAATAAACTTATAAATACTGTAGAGCAAAACAATAAAGAACGACTAATTTTGCTCAAAATGTTTGTGATTTAATGAGAATATTGAGATAATCCGTACGGGATGCTCATAGGCTAAAATGAACTGAACAATGAACGAATCAAAATTCAACCTATTGCACAAACCAGTGGCTACCTGAAATAGGTGGTTAATTGGATAATGTGTTAGTATTTGAAGCAAAAGGTACTGGTTTCGAGTCCCGGAGTGAACAATAACACCGGGATATAGCTATATTCAGCCGATGAGTCGCAAATAGGACGAAACGGGAGTTCTGGACTTCACTGCTGGCCATCATTCAACTCAGCTTACAATGGAGGAATTAGTTAAAAGTAGATAGTGACGATGTTGTCTAGGATGATATTCAGATGTTTGTAATGCCACTAACCGGTTCAGAAAATGCAGCGCTACTAATGACTAGTTTTGAGAAGTCATTTCCAAAGTTATGATGAGGAGTTGTAACCAGTGGAGTTCGAACATGTTGTAACAAGACAGTCACTTACCAAGGACATTGGATGACGGTAGCATGATATTGTAAATTGATTGAAATTACACATGTAAACTAGTGGATATAGGCTCAATGGTCTGATGGTTAGGCGCTATTCGCAAAACCTTAAGGTCTTTAGTTTTATACCTGATGAAGTCATAGATGTGCATTGCTAAAAAGCCCTATACCTGAGAAGAACAACTATCTACTCTGTCCTGATTTTCATTGATTGTGCCCAACTGTAGTCAATCTGTGATGTAAAACTACGAAAACTCCATAGTTTCCACAGACCCCCTGAAGTAATAACCCTTAAAAGCATTTATTATGTTGTACTAAGAAATATATGAACAGCAGAATAAATATATTCAGAAGACAGATATGTAACATAGTTTATAGACAGTTATCATTGAGATGGTTATCATTGAATTCTAATGATCAATTTATGCACTAAGCTATGCTTACAATCATAGTAAGCAGAATAGAATGAACGGCCAAAATACAGTTACTACCGCTATGATAAAGTTGAACTGCCAATATGAACCAATTACTTACACCGGTAGTTTATGTCAATATGGTAGAACTGTCGCCACAGTTGCGTTTATATTGAAAGCTATTGTCTCAGATATGAATACGAGAACCACTAAAACAGCATACTAGAGTTGATTTAATCAACAAATACTTGTTCTATTCTAATTCCATTCAATATCTCAGTAAAACTAATTACTTAAACCTTGATATCAAATTATAAAGTGATTGACTGCTGGAATGGTGTTTGTCGATACTAAATGAAGACGTCTATGAATCCGATGTTCATCGTGTTGTGCTAACGAGGTAATGGCAACTTGGACCGATGCATATATGTACCTGGTCCTACGTTGTAGCTGATTGATTTTTCTTTAATTTTCACCTGACTAATGAGATAACATTGATTATTCAATGTTTGAGCGCTACACATACACATATATATTTGTGTATAATTATTATTTAAATTGCCACTTATCATCAGATGACTGTCTGATGTTCATAGGATTTTCTTAACCGTCACAAATATACCTAGTTACTAATATGTATGTTGCCTAAGTACACACAGTAAAACAAATGTGTTTATTACTTTTAATAAAATCGATTCCTCACTTTCTTACCACATAAACACACACACACACGAGTAAAAACCGATTAATAATAATCATAATAAATAGAATAAACCAGTGCATTAATGACAATCATTAAAAAGTAGAAGGAATATGATCAACGACAATAATGGTGTAATTAACACACAAACATTTATTGATTAAAAAGAAAAACAAACTTTAAATCTCTCTTACACTTTTAGTGTTTTTTTTCTTTCCTCTTTCTAAGTTGATAAACTTGTGTTACGGATTACAATACAACGTTAATTGTGAAAAACTAAGAAAAATATTCATTATAGAGTGGTGTTTATTCCTTTAAATATTCTGGTACAGTTGAGAAGTTACCAAATGCCCTGGTATGTCCGAGAGTAGGGTGGGCCCACCCTCCCTCTCGAGATGCTCTCACATGGCCACGCGTATATACCCTCTGCCAGGGAAGTCCTACTCACTGCCTTCACGCACCACGGGTGTTGTTTACGAAATTCAGAGGACGAAAAGCGAAGGTCCGGCGCTTTAACCGGACCCCAAACCAATGGTGCACATGGGCTCCAGGATCCTCAGGGAACAAATGGCGTATGAACCAATCGTTGGTCACCGGCTACCAAGGGACTACATCTCCTTACGTTGCTCTACTGCCTTGTGGATCAGACCTTTAGGTTAAAGGCTCCGGGTGTGGCCCCCTAAAAAACCGCCTGCTTCGGTCTGGGCACCCGGGCAGTATCCCAGTCCTCACATAAATCGAATGATTTATTTGGCGCATATCTATTTGGTGCCTCCTTGTACCAATGTTTATGTGATTAAATAAATAAATAAATAAATAAAAACAGTTGAGAATGGGGTAGGTCCGCTTTTCCTACCTTGAAAAACTTATGAAATTATGTGTTTATAGTCTATGTTAGGGGGAGTTCCGCCAACTGACTTTACATGAAGAGGGTGTTCTTTTTTTTAAGAAAGTATGACAGCACAGAATGGATGGACCCGTGCTTAAGTCAGGTTAGTTGACCCAAAGGGTTTACAAGGGAGGAGTTGTAAAACCCTGATTTTAAAGTACAGGTATACATAGGCTCCAGGATACCAACAGAACGAATGAAGAACGAACCTATTTTGGCTACAGGCTATTATGGCATTGTATCTACTGGCATCGTTTTATTGCTTTATAGATCAGACTTCTAGGTTAAAGGTTGTAGGAGCGACCCACTTAAGAAAGTCACCTGCTTTGATTTTGGTGCCTTTAACGTAGATCATCTATAAATTATGTAAGCTTACATAAACCCCTTCGACGAAACAATAATAATAGTTTAACTAGTTATTTGTGGAAGTTACATCAGTTCTATGATGGTTTTTACCAGGGACTAACCTCGGTCGGATGAACGTTAAGACTGAAGTTAAAAATGTGGAACATTATGGTCTAAAGTTATGATATTCATCAATAATATAAGATAGCCTTGTGAACGATACCTAATTTACCTGAGAACATGTACTTGTTAGAATTTCTAAAATAGGACAAGAATTTAATAACACAAACATACATTCTTGTACGAGGAATTAAAAGTGAAATCATCCAATTTTAAGACAAGTGCCCCCAAATGACCTAGTACGGTCGAAAGTGGAGAGAGTCAGCTCTCCACCTCCAAATGCTCTCATATGGCCACGTGCATACAACTACTCACAGTAAAGTCCTACAGACTTCCTCGCAAACAGGGTGTTGTTTACGAAATTGAAAGGATGAAAAGAGTATGTCCGGCACTTTGATCGGATTGGTGGACACGGAGGATTCATTTAGGGGAGTTGGAATACCCTGATTACAAACCAATACTGCACGTGGACTACAGGATCCTGAGGAAACACATGGCATATCAATTTATTGTTGATCACCGACTATCATAAGACTGCATATCTTAACGTTGCTTCACTGTCTTGTGGATTAGACCTTTAGGTCAAAGGCTCGGGGAGTGGCCCCCTAAGAAAAGCACCTATTTCGGTTTGGGCGATCGAGCAATATTCCAACCCACACACAAGTTGAATGAAGTGAGGTACATATATATTTGGTGCCTCCTTGTACCAAAGTTTCTGTGTTTAAATGAATAAATAAAGACAAGTCTTAGCTTTAAACATCGCTGAACGACCTATTGGAATTAAACATAACCGGGTGATGCAACCAGTTGACTTACATTTATTATTGTTTTTATTTTTATTTTAACACATAGATATTGGTACAAAGAGGCACCAAATACATATGCGCCACACAAATTTCATTCGATATGTGTGAGGGCTGTGATACTGTCCAGGTGCCCAAACCGAAGCAGGTGGTTTTCTTAGGGAGGCACACCCGGAGCCTTTGACCTGAAGGTCTGGTCCATAAGGCAGTGGAGCGACATAAGGAGATGCAGTCCCATGGTAGCCGGTGAACAACGATTGGTTCATACGCCATTTATTCCTTCAGGATCGTGGAGCCTATCTGCACCATTGGTTTGGAGTCAGGGTATTCCAACTCTCTTAGGTGGGCTCTCCATGTCCACCAATCAGGTTAAAACACCAGACATTCGCTTTTCATCTTCTCAATTTCGTAAACAGCACCCGTGGTGTGAGAAGGTAATGAGTAGTACTTCCCCGGCAGAGGCTATATACGCGTGGCCATGTGAGAGCATTTGGAGAGGGAGAGCGGACTCTCCTCACTCTTGGCCGCACCAAGGTATTTGGGGGCCTATATTGGTTTTTTTTAAAAAAACTAACTAATTAATTATTAATCCGCATATAGGCAAATAGAAATTTAACAAGACCAACAAAGAAAATACAAAATGATATCCATATATTCTCATAAATAGGTGAAACATTTTCCTGTCTGTAAAACGTATTGGTTAAGTGAATGAGAGTTGTTGTCACAGGAAAACTATTCATGATTCATTAAAACTGACTGATAACCTATACCCTTTGTAATAAACACTTTTTGATAATGAGAGGTGAAACAATGTAGAATAAGATTAAACCAAATGTGTGTACAAAGGGGGGGGCGGAATGGAGAGGATATGAAGACAATGAAATTCGACAGAAGCTGTCAATTTTGAAGTACATGGCAGGGATTTAGTAAATTCGTTTTTCATCTACGAAGGAATCCTATGTTAAGACAAAACAGCCATTGAGTGCTTCTTGGTTTGCAATGGCTGTTTAACTAAGATTAGTTTTTTCATGTAAACTTAGAAATTCAACAATTCGCAACATTCTCATATACTAAAGTGATAATTATGTCCACGCTAGTGGTTAACTTCAAGCGATAATTCTCGAAACTTTAGTGAAAAGCCGTTACCAATGGATTTTAATTATGGCAGATGTGAGACAGTTACTGATCAATATAATTAGAAGATGGTTGTATGTTATTGTTCTAGATAATTACATCATTAGATTCCAGCCTATTAGTTTTAAGGTCATGTGTTCGCCGAGAGGCCTGGATTCGATCCTTGATGAGATTATGGATGCAAGCTTCTGAGGATTCCGTATCAGGATGTAATAGCTTCCCACTACTTCTTAGTTTTCAATGATTAGATAATTACGATCAGTTAGTGATGTAAACTACAGAATATAACTAATCTAAGTATTGACTAAAAAATAATTTATCACTGGAATAAAACATATGAAGTAATTGAATAATATCCTACTTACTTGTTACATCAGATGTACTTCGTTTATGCCCGATATTATGATGAATATTTGGAGATAATTTACAATTGGATGATGGAGAAGAAGTATTATGTGTATAGTGAGTATTAACATTATTATACGATCCCATGTTGTAGCTAAAATAAATATATACGAAAGTAACATGGAAAAGTAATCTGTATGAAGTGAACGGTTTGCTTAATTCACTCTTGCTTTATTTTATAATAATCAATAATATTAAAGACCAACGTAATATATTGTATCAGTCAAATAGATACAATGTAGGACTTAGCCCATATGTGCATCCGTTGGTGATCCTACACCTCAGTACAGGGAGTAGAAATCGCCAAAATGAATACCATAAACTCTGACTCCTATCATCACAACCAGATAGTCAACATCTACTAACAAGGCTCAGTCCAACAGCAAATGACTTCATAAACTAATCCCAGTCACTTCAAACTTGCTACACTAACAAGCCTTGCATGGCGAGGTATGCGGTGTTTGAGCACACATAATGCATGCCCCAATCATTTCATTTAATCTAGTTCCAGTAATCGCTACCTCAGTAGTCCAAACGTATTCAGGCAGTACTAATAACCTATAAGTATCTTCTACTTTTAAAAGTTATGTTTTACAGCCACAAAATCAATGGTTACACATTATACTCGCCTTTCGGTTAACAAATCACCCTGTTCAAGATATAACACCAAAATGGAACTATAATGTATCAGTATACTTACTACTTCTTAGGTGAGAAAAAAAGGTTTAAATGAACAGAAATTAGTCAATAACATAGGAAAAATTATAATTTTGCATAGATACACACACGCACACACCTTCCATTAACTATCGATTGTGGAATAAAACTACCCCATGTAGTCTCATCAATCGGTAGTAATAAATCTCGTAAAGTTTGTGCAGTATACACGAATCGATTATCATTGGACAATTCTGTCGAATTATTAGTCGTAGTTGTATTAGGAGTAGGAATTACATTTGTATTGTAATTTTCATCCCCATTGTTACTATTATGATAATCTAATTCTTGTAAAGGTGTAATAGCCGATGAACTAGATTTTAATTTAATAAATTTACTATTATTACTATTACTATTGATTGATTGAGAATTATCACTGGAATTCATTAAATACAATTGATTAGATACATAAGAGAATATTGGCACTGATGATGGACGATTAAGTAGAATTGATGAAACACGTTTCAATGGATTATATGAATGTGAACTGAATGAGTCCAATAACCAAACAAGATTTATTGCAAATGAAACAGATTTTGTACATCTGAAATGGGAAAAAAGATAAAAATGTATGATGTGGATAAATAGTAGATGAAAAAGGACAATATATACATATATACATGTAATTTAATCGAGAGAAACCATGACTAGTGGAGTTCAACAGTGTCACATGTGAAGAAGGTAACCATCAAATACAAAGGAAGATGGTTGAACTATAACGCCAATTGATTGAAATTAGACAAGCACATCATGGGACATGATGATCTCGAGGTTAAGCGTGGGTTCGATCTCCCCTGTAGTGATGGAGGCTCGCTGCTAATAAGTTCCATCCTAGAATGAAACAGCTGTCCATTGCTCATATGCTTTTAATAGATGTTTAACTTAGATTGGTTCATGATACCAATAACATTCAATAACCTCCATAGACCCCTATGTTGGTCGATAGAATTTGATCAGCACTAAAGAATTAGAAAAACATAACATTGGTCACTACGCAGTGACCATGCATTTGTAAATACGTCTCAGTTCTATGGAAAGTAAACAGCAGCCCGAGTACCTCAGTGGTAACATTTCAGACTATGAAACTAAATGACGCAGGTTCAAATCTCATAAGAAACACCAGTATACTCGATATTGCGCTGAGAATTCTATATTGTACCAAAATTATAATATTGAATAAAGCTAATAATAATAATAATAATAATAATAATAATAATAATAATAATAATAATAATACGGGGATGCCTTGCAAACGATTGCCATACAGACATCCCTCCCACCTACTGTTAACTGTCTAACATATAAAAGCATACAAATTAGATATTGATCTACGGTCAATCACATAACTTTCAGCAACTCCACCAAGTAATTTATAAGCAATTGAGACATAACAAAATTAAGCAACTACCCCATCAATTTGCAAGATATTAACGCAAATCTTAGATACTATACTACAAGATATCTCTAATATTGATCCGTGAGCATGTGAATTCCATCGAAACACTCAACAAAATACTCGAATCTATAGATTCAGTTTATATAATGGAGGTTAACCAGTTGTATGATTAGAGATTAAATTAGTGGAACAATCAACCTGGATACTTTTAAGGACAATTAGACAAGGTCATTAGAATGAACTAATATAACATTTATGGAGAAAAAGACTCAATAACCCTATTTTTGGTTGTAATTAACAATGACACCTGAATAGATAATGGGCGCTTCACAATGAAAGCATCCAGGTCAGACAGAAAATTACTCTTGACCATTATTATGGTTATTGCCATACCATAAAATATGACATATGTTATCATGAACATAAAAATATGAAATTACTTACCGATATATAAAATAATTAGTTAAGTGTTCAGCTAATGAAGGCGATTTATCATAGAGAGAAACAAGTTGTAATAAGTAAAAGTCTACATCAGATTCTGGAAAACCAAATAATCGATCAGCTGTTAATAAAGTGAAGGAAAATGAATAAAAACTACATATATATGAACTGATCAACAGCTGAACTCTTTTTCATATACAATAGGATATACATTGAAACGTTTAATGAATAATTGTAATAGTATTTCATTGTTTTGGTAATGAAAGTATATAGAGATAGAGATACGTATTCTTGTATTTCAGGCTTGACAAGTGTATATTCTAGACTAATGAAGAGATTCGACACTCTAGTGTACAACATTCTCATCATTTGTATGTTTTACTCATCAAAACTTAAAGTTATTTCTAATACTTAACTCGTTTGAATAGTAGATAGTATGGTAATAATGAAGAATGGATAATTTGTCAAGTGGATTTTTATCAACAAGGCTTTGAATTATACCTCATTGCCCAAACCGAAATAGATTGAACGGGATGAGAACCTGCAACCTAGTAATTAAAAGCCAATTGCTGTAATCACACAAGCAACAATCCTTTGATTTACAAATCATTATGACACAATCAGCCTTAACATATAGTTTAAAACAAAATGATCATTGGGCAGTTAACATAACTGAGAAATAAATAGATTGTCATTATAAATTCAGTTATTGGATCATGAATCGATTTAAGTTAGACATCAATTGGGAACCTATGGCCACTGGATGGTTGCCATGTGGAATGATGACTTATTGGTCAGGGTCCTTGGCTTTCGATCAGAAAGACACTGGTTTGGACTCCACTCCATCAACTTCCGTTAGAGTAACCGGGTGGTCTATACCCAAGTGCTTAATAATTGACTTTTTTAGTGTTTCCACGAACCTACTACTGATTATCAATAAATCAAACTTACCCAAATACATTTGTACATTCACATCCTCTGATTTAAATAAATATTGAATTGTCATGTCTAAATTAAATAAGCTTGATGTAAATAGACGTCGCAACCAAGATGATGAATTTGAATCATTGAGTATACCGCATTCATCTGCAATAACAATGATAATAATAAATATTTAGAGAATATTTATGCTATTATTTTATGAATATTTAAAATACTTCTATTTTCACTGTTTTCGTCAGTTGAAAGAACTCTGAATCGTCATTTAGGTAAACGGTCACGAAAACTTTGAAAAAACTTCACACAATCTAGGTGGAGAAGCCGAGTAACATAATTAGCTCTAACAAAACGGCTGTGGTTTAGTAGGATCAAGAAAAATTTTAGTTATTAAGTGAAACGGAATGTCATGTTTGTTATTTAAGTGGTGAGGAAATTTTAAAGCATGAACATATATGAAGTATTAGTAGTCCGGCCACTAAACAGTGATGGTTGATTTTGGTGAAAGGTATGAAGTATCACAATATAACTGAACCCGAACTTGTAGAAAACTTGAAGACATTTTTAGACAACAGTCAGGATTACTTAAATCAATTGAAACAGATAGACAGTACAAGAAAGGCACATTACTTATACTTTGAATAATAGACACGGACAGCACTGAATTAGAAAACACAAAAAGAAGATGGTCTGTATGCTTAATAACTATTGCAGGACAATTTCATTGTAATGGTTCGACGGACATGTATATGGTGAACAGAACTAGCATCCTATGATCGTCTATATGCTAAATGACGCGTAATCATGTTTACTTATGTTTGATATTTTGGACCTAAGCGTTACTTGATCGAAGAAATCTGTTTTGCTGAGCAGGCGAATAACCTTGAGGGTAAATGTTAATAATCCGGTCTCGTCATCAGCTGTTAGTCAGTCACATTTTACCCCCATGTATCACCATTCTGTCACCAATTTATTTATTATTTCAACAACCAAAACTTGTCGGTGAATTTGAAATTCAACCTCTATAATATTTTATTTGCCAAGAGTGATCTTAAATAAGTTAAATCATAAATATTTGGTGGATAAACCAGACTGGAAAATACAGAAGTTAAGAAACTAAATCCGAAGTAATGGCTTACGTAGACTCCACAACAAATGACACCAACCACAGCATAGATGCAGCTCTTGATTTTGCTTTAATACCGACTTGCAGGCTAAAAGTTCGGGTCAAATTCAATGTCGTGTAATTTACTACCAGAGTACATATCCATGTCCTTAAATATAAGCTGAAATTCTTTTGAAATCGACTAAAACTACCAAGGAAAACCTAATTCGACCTGTTTATTCATGAAGTATCATAGGCCATACAAAAACTCTAACCCCAATAATATTAGAGGAGCTCCTAAAACAGACTCATAGTGTCAGATTAGATTTTTATAAGGGAGTTAGTTTCGCATGTTTGTGATATTTCTATACATGCAATAAATGATTCTCTTCGCCTTAATTTTAAAATTGAACTTCTTACAGTAGTTTGTTTCTTCTACACGTTTCGATATGTGCAGATAGCATTAGGTTCCTAAGTGGTTGATTCTGAAGAGCCGTATATCGACGTGAAACAAACTTGAATTAATGCATACCAAAATGAATTGAACGGCTTTATAGTTGGCAACTTTGTGCCATCAAATGCCCTGGTACGGTCGAAAGTGGGGATAGTCAGCTCTACATCTCCAAATGCTCTTACATGACCACGTGCATACAACCACTGACAGTAAATTCCTACTAACTACCTCGCGGAGAGGGTGTTGTTTATGTAATCGAGAGGAAGAAAAGAGAATGTTCGGCACATTACAGCATTCACTGCCCAATTGCAAGTTTGGAAAAATTGGGGACATAAAAGACACATGATGACTTTAGTAATAGACATTCGCTTGTCCTAATTCATAAAACATGAAACGAAAAATATCATTCTAGAAAATTTTCATCGTATACCAACTTTTTACTAGCATAAACACATAAAAATGGAAATGTGGTCAGTAAACAATGTAGCACTGTGAAACGAAAATATATTTTATTTTCGAACCCACCAAAAATCACGTAAGAGCTCCGAATCCAATTGACTTATTTTGATCGACAATCTCTTAATGAACTCTAATAATAACTAAAAGATACATGATTATGAATACCCCTAAAATATCGGAGGTATGCTCGTATTGGTGAGTGACCACATGGAGTGCTAGAGCAACCGTATTACCAAATATACATCACGCGTACGTATGACGTTTAGCTAATGTAAAATGAAACCCATAAAAAAAAGACGAAACCATAAAAACACCGGGTTTGAGAAACATTAGTATAGGTATAACATACTGAAAACCTTGAGCGGTGTCAGGAGACGAGCATAGTTACAAAGAATTGACAACAAAAAGCAACATTACAACACTGGAATAATAACTCTGATCTTAATAACCAACCCTCATGTCGAAAAACTTTTGGCAGTAAAAGAAAAAGGATGTTTCGTAGAATAGGATTAGGAATAGAGTTGTGAGTCAGGATTAGCACCCCATGGGGTTTTCGTCACCAATTAACACCAGAGACAATGAAAAAACTTAGGATAAAGTATAACGAGTTAAACTGGAGGTATAAAATAGTTTCACATCTTGAGGTAAAAGTTCTCATCACGAACTGATATCATTGGTAATCCCATGCATTGTCAACCCTATGTTTACAAACTTAAGAAGCTTGAAATTGGGATGCAAAGTATTGGGGTGGAGAAATACTACATAGCCTCATGAATCAAAACTGACTACGTATTGAATCACATCAAACACTGTACCGCACATTCAAGCTTGAAAACAAGTATATATTGTAATTCAGCTTAAGCACGATTTCAAATCTACTTCCAATATTTGTTTTGTCCACCACAACATAAAATTTATCTATCATTGCGCTTTAAATTTTGTGCGGAACACATGACGCATCACAGTAAATCTGGTTTGTTAACTAGAAGCCGCCTGTATAATTATAGTTTTACCAAAATGTTTATATTAATCGGTGCTACTAACTTACTTTTACTGTCGTGACAACAACAAGTGACGTCCTCCATATTTGAATTGTTGTTATTAAAACCGTTATCGTCAGAAGATGCTTTATCATTGACTACATGTTGCAATTCTTGGACAGGAACTATACACTCTTCAAGTTTCAATGCATTCGAACCAGATGGGTCCGGAATAGAAGCCTCAGAATCTGCTTTTTCTGAAAACTGATCTGAGTTGTTTATTCTACATGCACTTCCGAGTCGGTATTCCGAAATGTCTGGCATTGACAGATACTAAGTGAGATAATGTCGATGTTTTCAAAGTTAACAATGATCACACACGATGAATAATGCTACTATGTAGTTACTGCCTGGTAATAACTGTGATAAAACATGATAAATATGACATTCGAATGATGATAGCATAATACAACCACAGAAATAATAGACAATGGTTCGGCAATTAGTCTTCAAACAACCCACGCTTAGTGTAGCCTTGAAGTTTTTCTTGTGTTTCGACCAAACATCGGTTAACAGTCTTCAGTCTTCAGTAATAAGGATAGGAGGTCTGTCGACCTATATTAATCCTTGCAGTTTGTAATACTGTGGAGGTCCAATCTCGTTTTGAATATATTAACAGACGGTGATGATATTACGTGTTCCGGTAGAGAATTCCAGTAATTCACTACTCGGTGCGAGAAACGGAACTCCAGACGTAAACGGTTTTGATCTCGGTTTTTGAACTTTCTTCGAATGTCCTCTCAAATGATCGGTTCTAGACGGAAGCAAAAGATAAGACATGTTGAGGACGTCTTGCTAGCAAGTCACTTGTTGAAATCCGATGGTAACGTAAAAATATTGCCCGACATACCGTACTCTGAGCGCAATATCATACGGAACATCCCCAAAGAAACTCGCGATCAGTTTTTCCGCGGAAAAAACATAATTGTGCAAGGTATACCGGAAAATGCAGACCCTACTCAATCAAATTCTGATATCAGGGAATGGAAATTCATCAAACAGTCCATGAGGCCCAAACACATACTGACTCAGCATGTGACGAGACTAGCCAAGAAGGTCGGTGATCCTAGACCTCGTCTAATGAAGATAACCTTCCCATATTCCCACATGGCGTCTGGAGTTCTGGAAGCATTTCGTGCCAACAGACGTCGATTGCCACCTGGAATCCACATGCACCCGGATAGGCCATATGAAGCTAGGACCAAACACAAAAGCAAGTTGGAGCTGACCATTCCACTTGTCGACTGTCTAAATGATAAAAAAACGTGTAAAGGACAGGGCCTACCACCTCGGCAAATCTCATATAGGTGGGCTACCTGTCAATTCACATAAGGCTCATACAGAAAAACAGTATGAAGCTCACGCGTTCCAAATTGAAAGCATAAACTGCTTATATATGAACGCCGCGAGTCTACCAAATAAACTGGATGAATTACGTGAACTTAGCAACGCTAACAAGGCCCATCTGATAGGAATATCTGAAACCTGGATATCTTCTCAGTTCTCGGACCAAGAGTCAGCATTGCCTGGGATGACTTTGTTCCGCAACGACAGAAAAACAGGAATCGGGAGCGGAGTAGCCATATACATAAGCTCTTGCTTAGATGTGCACCAAGTTCACAACCTCGAGTTTAACAATCTTGGGGAATCCATATGGTGCTCTGTAAGGTTGTCTAGTACTTCCAGGTGTCTAGTCGGAGTCATTTACAGGAAGCCAACTGCCGACACCGAGTATGATAGTCGTATGCTGGAAGGACTATCCCGCTCTATCCGTCTCGGTTTCACACACATCCTGATTCTAGGGGACTTTAATCTCCCTAGAGTCAACTTCGCGGAACACACGTACACTGGAGGCGACAACTCAACTGAAGCTCGGTTCTTCAACCTCATCGATGACTTGGGCTTATATGAAAATTTGAGGTCGGCAACTCGTTGGAGAAACAGTCAGACACCATCGCGCTTAGACTGTATTCACAAACGAAGAATTCCTAGTCGACAACCTCTCAATCCTGGCTCCTCTGGGAAAGAGAGATCATGCCGCCATAGCCTTCAGTTTTGTCATCAAAACTAAGCTAAGGTATCCCAACTATAATTTGCGTTGAAATTTTAAACGGCTGAATGTGCGAGCTCTACATAACCATCTACAACAGGTGGCTTGGGATGTTCACCCTCAAATCGATGTGGATGGTCATTGGGACTTCTTGCTGCACACGCTCTTACGTGCTACAGACCATTCAGTTCCTCAAACGGTTCCCAAAAGCTGCAAGCCACCTACAGTAATCAAGAACCGTACCCTTCGCCTGCTAAGCCGAAAAAGGCACTGTTGGGCGGAATACAGACGAACTGATAACGACGGAGCGTACAGACAATATAACCATATCAGGAACATATGCACGAAGGCTATAAGAGAAGACAGGCTTCAGTACCAAACAAAGCTTATGGACAAATTTGCCTCTAACCCTAGAAGCCTATTCCGTTATGCAGCCTCTCTTCGTCAAGCCAAAACAGGAGTTTCTCAACTGGTAGGTCTTAACGGCACGACCAACAACGATGGCGATGCCGCTGACCTTCTGGCGGCACATTACTCCCAAACATTTCAACCGGCAGACATCAACTTTACTGACGACAGTTTCGTCTGCAATTCCACAGGACTTTCCGAAGTAGACCTAAGCGCTGACTTGGTGTTCCGGAAATTGCAGCACTTAAAACTAGATACATCTCCTGGCCCGGATATGGTTCATCCTGCCATACTGAGGGAGGCAGCCTCAATCCTGGCAACGCCGCTTAGCGTGATGTTTTCACACTCGCTTAGCCGAGGCAAATTACCGGAAAATTGGAAGTTGGCTCACATCACCCAATTTTCAAAGGAGGTCGACGCAATGAACCTTCAAGTTATCGGCCGGTGGCTCTTCTGTCATTACCATCAAAACTCATGGAGTCCCTGATATGCGACGGTTTAAACGACTATCTACTGTCCTAAAATTTCTTCTCACCCCAACAGCATGGTTTCAGGAAGGGTTACTCTTGTATAACCAACCTGCTGACTGCGGTTGACAGATAGACAAGCATCCTCGATCGTAAGGGAAAGGTTGATATCATTTACCTTGATTTCTCAAAAGCTTTTGATAAGGTTAACCACTTGTGTCTTACCAATAAGCTCAAACGACTAGGTATCAAACCACCTCTAATCGATTGGCTTACTTCATACCTAAAAAATCGACACTTTAAGGTTAGGGTTAATTTCACTTTATCTCAAGCTATGGAATGTCCTAGTGGGGTCCCCCAGGGCTCAGTACTAGGGCCTCTTCTCTTCTTGATCTACATAAATGATCTTCCTCAACAGGTAACGTCAGACTTATTACTTTTTGCCGACGACGTGAAACTTTGGAGAGAGATACGCAACCAAGACGATATACAGGCACTTCAAGAGGATCTGACTCGACTTCAAAGTTGGGCAGACGATAACGGACTTACCTTTAACACTTCAAAGTGTTAAGTAGTCCATCTGCGACATGTTGCAAACTAAAGTTACAACTTAGGAAACTCCTGTCTAGTAGTATCCCAAGTCGAAAAAGATTTAGGAGTCCTGGTGCCCCGTGATTTAAAGTCTTGTGCTAACTGTGACAAAAATGCCTTCCGAGCAAACCTTGCACTGGTAACGTTGAAGCGCATTTTTGGACAGTTTGACGGACAAACTTTCCATACAATCTTCAATAGTTTCATCCGTCCCCATTTAGAGTACGGAAACATAGTACTCACTCCCTCACTCCAAAAGGACAAGGTCACTTTGGAGCGTATCCAACGGCGAGCCACGAAATCAGTTCGAGGACTCAAGTCTAAACCTTACGAAGAACGCCTCCATTCACTAGACCTTTACCCACCAGAGTATAGGCGTCTTAGAGGTGATTTATTAATGGCTTATAGTATTCTAAACACTTCTGGACATCCTCTTAAACACCTACTTAAGCTTAGTTCGAATAAGAACCTAAGAAGTAACACCCAGAAACTGGAAACACAACATAGCAAGAGGGAATGCAGACACAACTTCTACTCCTTAAGAGTTGTCAAAATCTGGAATTCGCTACCAGCCGAGCTAGTCCAAGCAACTTCTCAGGAGTCCTTCAAGAGTCAACTCGACCTATTCTTAAGGATCAAGTACAGCATCACACTGTAGCGTAGCGTCGAGTTGAGGTTAACTATGAACACCGCTACAAAGAAACACGTGCCAAATGAATCAGAAGGCGAAGGTTGGACGTAACCAAATAAATCCATAAAATCCCCGAGAAGCCAAATATCAGAAGGCAATTAATGAACTAAATCGAGATGTATTCGCTGGCGATCTCGTGGCATCGAAAGGATACCGAGATCGTGCCAGAATACAAGCTTGGTTACAGTGTAACACGTGTAATCAGCAGCCACTGGAAGACGGGAAGACCTAAAGCCACAACACACACAATGTTAACTGAACACTCTACACCACAGAGAGAACGAGGAATGGAGGACAATGGACGTTTATTTTTAAAATTAAAATTCGCGGGGGCTGTACAGAAAGAGGGCTAGTTTACAAAACGGTCTTATGAATCATCCTGTAAGTTTAGTGCGTGCAGGGCTTGCTCTTCTTCTTCCAAAGCGTTTATTCTTGCTTGCCCTGCAATAGAAAGAAAACAAAATCTATTAACAACATCATACATGATGATTTTAATCCCGTTACATCGCCCCCTCTCCTAATGAGGCACTGTCCTCAGTGCCTGATCTTGGGCACGGGTATGCTGTCCCTCCTTCAGATGGTACTTCGTAAAATCTAGTGGCCGGCGGTGGATCAGCGAGTTGAGCATCGAAGGGAAATGTCGTCCGATCGGGTTTTATCTGGTTGTAGTGCACCGTTATCACATCGTCTTTAGGTCGTTGTATGTTACGCAATACAAACGTGGTGGGCGATCGGATGAGGACAATTTCAAAAGGCCTTGCCAGGGTTGATGGAATTTACTGCAACCCCCTAGCGACGTCATTGGGCGGCGTAACCAGAAGCGATCTCCAACCGTATACCTAGGTCCTTGTGCTTGACGATCATATATATCTTTTTGGTGTCCACTAGCCTTGCCTAAGTTAATGTTGACCAGACGGTAGGCATCAGCTAGTCGGTTGCGAAGAGTACGTATGTACGGAACATGCTCTTGTTCTTCGTAGGGCAGCAGGGGTGTCTGTATCTCTACTGGTAGGCGTAGTTCGTGCCCGAACAGCAAAATAGCAGGCGAGAATCCCGT